AGGCGTTCTTCTCCAGAATTGTGACTGGCAGTGCGGTGAGAGCGGTGAGACTGTTCCATCTCTGCATTACGGGAAACTGTGCGATGCGAGCGGCTGCTGCGGCGGGGTTGCTCAACTTCTGCGTTGCGGGAAGCAGTACGGTGCGAACGGTTGCTGTGGTGAGACTGCTCATTAGCTGACTCATGATTTTCTTCTGGCTCAACTCTACCATTTTCAAAACCAAAGCGGGCTGGTGCACGAGCTGCACGGCGGGGACGGCTAGCCATCTAAACTCCCAGAAGAGGGCGGGGTAAGAGTCAGATAGCACTTAGGAGGGCAAGGAGCAAAGTAATTAGCAACTCAGATAGCACACACTAGGCATAAACTGGATTTTTCAAATCATAAAGACACCTGATACAACGGGTGTGGACAAGTCACAGAGCTACGCCGAGCTTGACTGCGCGCACACCACCTAGGAGAACCAGACTACCAAACAACACCCACAACAAACACACGCACGCACTACCTCGCCACGACTCCAAAAGAGTTGGCGGTGGAACAAAAGGGCCTAACACACGGACGGCTGCTGAAGACTGCCTCCTCTACTCCTCGTCGGCCTGGCTGCCCCCTGTGGTCGGCTCCTCAGTCGAAGAAACGTCGATCGGCTGACGCGAAGGGACCGGCGGAACCTGTCGAGGGCCGGCAGCAGCACGGGCCGCTGGCGGTGGGGGAGCTGGGTAGTGAAAACGGAACACGGTGGAAGAACCAACAACACGCTTCCGCGCGGTGCGGATAAAGCGTGGGCCACGGCGGGAGGAAGCAACTGGGGTGTGTCCGGGGGTGTAGGAAGGGCTAACTGGGTGTGGGTAGGGGGAGTACACTGGTGAGTACGGCGCACGCGAGCTGGGGGAGCGCGGGCCACTGGGAGTGCGGGCAGAGCCGCGGGAGCTGTGGGAGGACAGGTGGCTGGCGTGGCAGAGGCGGCCTGAGTCCCAAGAGACAGTGTCAACTGAAGTGACACCCTCCTCGGCCAGACGGGCCTCCAGGGCGGCGTAGCGGCGGGCAAGGGAGCGGTAAGCCTCCAGGAGTAGGTCGTGCTGAGTGGCCTGAGCCTCCGAAAGCTCAACCATGCGAGTCAGCACTGGCTGAGACTCGCTGTACGGACAAGGGTACCTGGCGTCTGAGTGGCCAGAAGGAAGGCGTGGAAGCTGCCGGAAGGCGGAGCCCCCGAGACGGTGGCTGTAGTCGTGGGCCAGGCGACGAAGCGCAGTCCAGGAGAGGTCCTGGTACGCGATCTGGAGAGTGGGCCTGGCCACGGTGAAGTGGTGTGGACGAAGGCCAGCTCCGTGTATACCTCCACGGGGGTAAAGGTACACAGAGAGCTCACAGTGAGGGGGAACACGGTCCACGGAGTACCCCGTGTACTCGGGACACGAGAAGCCAAGGAAACGGGCGAGGTCACGAAGCTGAGCGACGTGGTGACCCTCACCAAAACCGTGGGAGCTGAAGCTGGCGTTCACTGCCATCTACAATTTTGAAAAAGGGAGAAAGGATCAGTAACCATTTTTAGAAACAAACTATTGAAAATAAAGAAAACAAAAGAAACCTTAGCTTTTCGCAAGTAGTTTTGAACTTAGTATCCTTAGGGTCGTCCTAGGCGTCGGGTTTCGTCCTAGGGCCAAGCTTGTGCTCTGATACCATCTCTTGTCACGCCCCGAACTAGTACCGACCGGAACTAGCCCGTGACGCTCCAAATTAACCTGTTAATCGATACCAGTCCCAGGAAATAGTGCTGGTATCACAGGGAGACAGAATATCACAGCAACAGAAGTCTCTTTATTATAGAGTAGAAGTACAGTCATGTTGGGCTGCGGACAGATCCCGAGCTCACAACTGCATTACAAAAGGAAAGCGGAAGCCAGGACTTGGACCAATCATTACAGGCGCGACTTGGGAACTAGGCCGAAACCCTAAAACTCATCGTAGCCGGCTTGCTCCTGGAAGAACTCCTCATCAGCCGGATCCGCTTCATCTTCTTCAGCAACTGGGGGGGATTATTTATATAGAGCAAGGGTGAGTACGGGAGTACTCAGCAAGCCAAGGGAATTAAGTGTTTAATGCAGGCTTCAAGGGAAGGCTGTTGTTTTTGCAATTGATTTTATTTGAACTCTTTTCTGAAAACAACTAAGTGAGTGCTTCTCAAACGACTCGGATGAGACAGAGCGTCTCGTCCGGTCGGAGTATGTGCAAATGTATCAGTCTTTAGAATTGAAACAAGGTTGGCACCCGGCCAACAACTTTTCAAACGGCCACCCGGGCCAACAACTTTTCAAACGGCCACCCGGGCCTAGCTGATCCCATCAGCTGCTGAATCTTTCAAACATCGAACCCCTTTCCACAACAGCAATTTCACAAGCAGTAGTCAAACAAAACTACGCTAGGAATCACCTCACATCCGCCCATGACCGTGGGCACGGCTGTTCGAACAGTTTGTTAACCTCTGCAGAGGGGGTACACTTTACCCACACGACATTACTAACCCGGATCACCCAGCCCGTGGGGATCAGCCACGTCGGGAGACCTCCAAGCTTTCATGACAAGGCATTTCCAAAGCCGACACAGGTTTACCATATGCCGACGAGAGGGGTCCCAGACCAACAGCAGGTTAGGTCCCAGACCATACTGTGCCAGGAAGCCCAGGGGTCCTCCCCGACACCACCCCGGCGAATCCACATGTCTCTCGGCATCAAGGCTCCCCTGATAAGCTAGTTACTCAGCCAGGGGTGTCCCATTCCACCCATGTGGTCGTACTTGTCTTATGTTTGGATGAAATTCCAAGGAAACGGTCCTTAAGTGCAAGAGCGGGAAACCGTACACCCGGTACGTTCCCCGGTCCGCGGTTTTGGAAATTCATTTAGTTCGCAAGCACCGACCCAGGTGTCGGGTTTTCCAAGTCTCTTGTAAAACCCAAGTTTTACCCAAGTTGTTTTTCAGATTTTAAGTTTGAAGGCGTCCGTCGATACTCGCACTGGGTGCACGAATATCGAGACGCAACTGGATGGTTACAAGGGGACATGGTATAACAATTATCAAAGGAAGGATCAAATGCAACAAACTAGGTAGGTCCGCCAATCTGCCTTGCAGACGGGACAACAGATTAAGTGCGATCCTATCAATGCATAATATTTTTCAAGCAACATAATTAAATTCAAATATAGGCTCAAGATGTTCAAAGGTGGCTTGCCTTGCTCGAGATCTGGAGCTTGATCCTCGAAATCCTCGCACTGCGGGTCTTCGGGCTCCGGAACTACACGCGAAACGGAACAACTCAACAAACGGCGAAAATAAAGCCCTATTACTGACCTCTAAGCGTGCCATTAGGTAGATCTCGAGATTTGGGGAGTTTTGGAAGTTGAACGGAGTCAAACGGATTTACGGTGGGGAAGATATTGAATTTCTAAGATTATTGGATTTTTGGTCTAAAGGAAAATGATTTAATTAAATCCTTTTTGGAAGAGATAAAGAGAAGAAAAAGGGAGAGGGAGGGAATATAAACATCCCTCGGGCGGCTAGGGCGCGGCCCGAGAGAAAGGACGGCTCGGCCGAGCTTAACGGGCCGGCCGGCCCAAGAAGGCGGCCCAGAGCGGCCCAAGACGCGCGCGCGCGGAGGAAGGAGAGAGAGTCCGGTGGACCGGGCTCACCACGCGCGGTCCCGGGTGGGACCCGCTTGTCAGCGGCTCGGCTCACCGTGCGGCGGGAGCACGCGGCGCGGCGCTAGGGTGGAGGATGGACGTGGTGCACGCACGCGGTTCGCGGTGGACGCAGGTGCGGCGGGCCCACGCGCAACCTCACGGCTCGCGGTGGAACGCGCGCACGGGGAGGGACTGACCGGGGTCGGCCCGTCCCGACCTCGGCTGAGCTGGCGCCGACGTGGCGCCTACGTGGCTGCCACGTGGGCTGGCGGGAGGTAGACGACGACCCAGCCGCGAATGGACGGCGTGCGGCGGCGGCGAGCGGCAGAGCGAACCACGGCGATACGGGCGAAAGCGAGCACACCGGGCGGTTGTTTGTGATGAGGGGAGGGAGAGAGGGAGAGAGGGAGCGCGCCGGGGGAGAGAGAGCGAGAGAGAGAGAGAGAGAGAGCGCGCCGGGGAGAGGAGAGGGCCGGGGGAGAGGAGAAGATGGGCCGAGAGAATTTCGGCCCATCAACCCCGGGGGAGGCAAAATAGACTTTTGCGGAGGAATTTGATTTGGAGGGATTTGGATTCGGAATTGAACTCGACGATAGATCGGGGATTGAGATCTTGAGATGGCACGGACACTAGACAACAAGCAAAGAAACAAATTTCGCAATTAGGGTTTTTAGGAGATAATTTTCCCGCTAGGCGCCACGACGGAACGGGCGCTACAGGTTTGGTGTGTTTCGCTTTATTTTAGACTACACTCTTTTAGAGTGCTTCTTTTAGAGTGCTAGATTGTAATAATTGGCTGTAGCTCTTTTGAGCAAATGTCAGGATGTTTCATTCCATTATCTTAAAAAAAATAGCGTGGTATCACTGGAAAAAAATACCTTTACCTATTGCAATGCACGGATATTTTTTTTTGTAACATCATATATAGAAGTCGCATGAAAAAAACTGGAAATAGCTAGCTGTTTAAGTCTTGTGTATTGAACATGTCTTTGAGTAGTAAATCTGTATGGGACACCAGCTGCTCGCGGACAGGGTGCGAACACGAGATGACTTAATTTGGGTGGCACGTTAGCACCAAATCGATACATATGTAATTTTGGGACTTACATTGTAAATACACTAAAATTACATATATAATTTAGGGACTTACAATGTAAATATATGCCGACTATTTTTTGATGAAAAATATGACGCCATAAATATAGCTACACCCATCACCATGTGCATCAGACGAATCAAAAACGGGAAATACGTATACGATGGGACGGGAGCTAGCGTATGCACGATCGATGTGGATGAGTGGATCACGTTCATGACTCATGACCAAGAGTCCGAAGAAAACACGAAAAGAAAGCAGCATAATAATACGCGGCATGCAACACATATATAACAGAGAGAAAAAAAACAGAGAGAGAGAGCTCTCTCCCTCGAATTCTCGACCGATCCTGCACGCCGTAAAGTGCGCTGGTGTTGAACGATCGATCGAGAAAGCAAAAGATGGAGGCGGATGCGACGACGGCGGCGCAGGGACGACGACGGGACGATCGCTGGTCGTCCCTCCCGTTCGACATGCTCGTGCTCGTCGTCGACCGGCTCGGCTGGTCCAACCACCCGAGCTTCGCCCTGACGTGCCGCCACTGGCGCTCCGCCGTGTCGCCGTTCTACCCGGCGTGGATCACCCCGCTCCTCCTCAGCTCCGCCGACGTCGGCGTCGCCAACGCCAGCTACTACAGCCCGTACTTCCACAGGAGCTTCGAGGTCGACGGCTGCACGCTCAACGTGCCGCCCGAAGCCAATCTCTGCTGCTCCAACGGACGACGCCTCACGCTGTGCCTGCCTAAGCTGGTCCTGCAAACCGATCTCGTCACCGGCGCCGTCGACGAGCTACCGGAGATGCCGTTCTACTGGTTCAACTTCATCGTCTACGACGACGCCGACCGGAGGATGTACTGCGTCAACACGATCTTCGTGGTGCGGCTCGCCCGCGCGATTCAAGACGAGGACGGCGAGTGGGGGCCATGGGACCTGACGGAGTTCAACGTCGAGGAAGGAGCACAGCTTCAGGCCTCGCCGATCAGCAACCCGGTGCTCCATGGTGGCCTGCTGTACGTTCTTGGTGAAGACGGGAAGCTGGCGGTGTATGATCCGTGCAACCACGATGATAATTTCAAGGTTGTTGATAAGCTTAAGGGATTTGGGATTGAGCATGATCGCGTTGACAGCTACCTGTTCGAGTCTGATCAAGGTGAGCTCATGGCTGTCCTCGTCGGCTACACTGGTACGCCTGTCCATGTCCTCAAACTCAATGAGGAGACAATGGAGTGGGAGAAGATGGAATCCTTGGATGGACGGGCATTGTTCACCGGAACATACACGACAATGATGAGAAAAACCAAGCTTAAGTCGATGCAGAACAAGGTTTTCCTCCCGAGGTTGTATGAGTGGCCTAAGACCATTCATGTTGACCTTGTTATTCGTGATGGCGAACCAGCATTTATACCAAAGTCACACTCGCAATATAGCATCGAGAAGATCACCTCTAATACGAGTATTTGGTCCTATAAAGTTGGGCAGCAGGAAGAAGCAAGAAAGTTTTGGGGATCGGAGAAGGTAGACTATAGTATATGGGTCGATTTTAGTACTAATTTACAATAATTATAGGATAATTAATTATATGTACGGAAGATTATAGTAAGAGACAGTAAAGAGAAGATACTATTGAACTCATAGTGGTTTTTTTTTTCTCATATTTGCAAACATGTCTACATATGAGAATTGCTGTTTATGAGAGGTATGAGAACAACTCGTCGATGCTTTCTTACAGTAGCCCCGGTTCTTTAAAAAACCGGGGCTAAAAAGCACTTTTAGTCCCAGTTTATAAGTTTAGAGGTATTTTTTTTATTTTTAATCCTGGTTGGTAACACCAACAAGAACTAAAAATCATTTTTAGTCCCGGTTCAATAACTGTCAGGCCATGTCAGGCATCGAGCGAACTATAGTCTCCATTGGTGATACCAACTGGGACTAAAGATCATATCTTTAATCCCGGTTGATATTGGAAATAAATATCTCTCTCCCACGTCTCTCTCTCATAACCGGGATTATAGTGGGTTATGAACCGTGATTGAAAGTGGGTTAGAAACCGTGATTGAAGATCATTTCTCTAGTAGTGATAGTAGTATTGTAATTAATTGCGCTCACGAGAAGACTTGTGTGCACATGTTGTCTCAACCTTAATAAAATCATGCTAAAAGCCCGTCTATAAATGATGCATATAAAATTCAAGAAAACTACGATTTAAACTCTAGCGAGGGAAGTTATATACCCACAACTTCAACACCACTACGGCTCTACCCAAAAAATGTTGGAATGAGTGAGAAACGAAAACAAGAACTTCAATTATTTATCTTCTCATAGTTATACTAGTAGTACTTGTCCCAGTACATCAAATGCTTACAAGTCACAACTCACAAGCATATCACTTATCACTACATGTTTATTCAGTAGAAGCAGAATTAGTCGCGACAACATACAGTTGCACCCGTAATTAATTACTACCAGTACGTACGTCACATTACAGTTACACAAGTGACAAGTCCCATAGCCTGCTCGATGCAGTCGTCATCTGCCATTATATTGCAGTTGCAATCTCTCATCCAAGTTTGATGCCTGCAGCTGCAGTCTCTGCAGCATTGCATTCAGAAACTCGATACATCGTCACATGTCCTTGGGAATGTTCGAGCCGGCGAGCGTGACGGCATTGACGTAGTCCTGCACCCTGTGGAACGGCAGGCCAGGCAGCGCCACCGCCGCCGCCCTCGCCGCCATCAGCAGCCACCCTTCCCGGCAGTAGGCGCTCCTCCAGTACCCCAGGTACGCGCTCCGGGCCAGCTCCCACGCCGCGTTGATGCGGCTCGTCGCGAACTCCGCCGCCGACGACGACGAGCTCCCATCTCCCGGCAACTCCTTCACCACCTGCATAAGTTACACGTACAGCACGATTGATGAGCAATATTCAGAGATCGTGTCATGGAAGGGGACATGCATGCAGCAACAAGATCTTTCATGAAGAACAGCAACCAAATGTACAACCTTCAGACAGGACATTGCAGATAACTGCAGAACAGAAGAAGATTGTATTCCGTTTAATTTTCATTTGGTTTCATTCAGACGATGATAACGAATCTTGGGGCTGAATTCAGGTACAACTCTGGCTCAGTGGTTCTCGTTGAATTTCCCTACATCAATCACTATCCACCACACTTCATTTATCTACTCATCACTACATCTGAAGCATACAACCAGAAATTTGTGTCCTTACATCAGCAATGAGATTATTCAGGCCACCATCAAGACTGCCTGCCTGCATGTACTAGTGTCATAAGAACCGAACAAAAGCTCACTTTCACTGGATTCTCTGTCTGGATTGTTCATACGATGTGCTTGCTGTACCACTCAAAATGAACACAAAATCTGAAAGAAATTTCTTTACCGTATAGCTAAATTTACCAAGCATTCTTTGGGGCCAACCGGTCAACATCAGTACATCACCCGTTTCTGATTTGTCTGTCTAAACCATTCGTCTTATATAAAAATTTAGTGTAAATTTATAAAAATATAAATTAATGTTAGAGTTTCTTTGATGATAAAACAAGACACAATAAAATAAATAACATTTATATATTTTTTAATAGAATGAATAGTTAAATGTCACGATAAAAGTTAACGGTGTCATATATATATATATATATATATATATATTAAAAAATGGAAGGAGTATATGTTATAGATGAGTATCGGGAAACTGTTTTAATCCCTCGAGGGGATATCCCCTCGTTCTTTGCATGTCACTTAAATGGTTATAAAAAAATTTGGAAAAAATTGGGAAGGTGTATTAACATGTGATATAACACTCCACAAACATGCAATTTCTACATCTCGTAACGAAAAAAACAAATTGAACCGCAGCTAGTTAACGTATATTCAGAGTCAAATTTGTTTTTTTCGTTGCGAGATGTAGAAGTTGAATTTTTACTTGCATGTTTGTGGAGTGATATATCACATATTAATACATCTTCTTAAATTTTTTCAAATTTTTTCATAACCATTTGAGTGACATGCAAACAACGAGCGAATATCCCCTCGAGGGATCAAAATCCTCTTCCATGAGTATCAACTAACCTAGAATTTTATTACCGTATCCTACACCAAAAAACGAACATCTATTGCCTTTGATCCAACAGATCGGTTTTTTCTATACTACATTGGGTTAAAATTAACCTGTTTAAGCCTGAATATAATACCTCGAGTACCAATGTATCAGAAGCTGGTATATACGTGCTTGTAAAAGCATGCATTGATCAATATATGATCAGAAGGAGAAAAAAAAATGAACGTTTTTCTGAAGGAAATATAACCAGACAGTGATCAAGCTAGAGAAGAGAGGCATGGATGTTCACCTTGAGGTTGTATAAGCTGTCGAAGTGGAGGCGGATGCCGAAGTGGAGGAAGTGCGCGGCGGAGCTCTCGTGCGGAAGGCGCGGCAGCGGGTCGTCGCCGTAGGTGATCCGGAAGTGCCTCTTCCTCGGCCTGTCCAGGTTCCTCTCGGCGAACATGGCGAGCATGGCGTCGCCGACCCGCGGCTGCCCGAAGGTGTACACGCCGGCGAGCCGGTCCAGCGCCGCCTTCTCCTTGTGGTACGCCAGCACCGTCGCGAACAGCACCGCCAGCGCGCCGCCGGAGCCATGCCCGGCGACCAGCACCCTCGCCCTGCCGTTCGCCTCCAGCAGCCGCTTCACGGCGTCGCGGATGGCGTAGTAGGCGTGCACCCGCTGCGGCTTGCCCTTCACGTGCTCCACCCACTTGGGCCACCCGATGTTCCGCTGCGCGCCCAGCGCGTGCGTGTACGCCGCGTGCGCGCGCCCCAGCCGCGGGATCTTGTACCACGACGGGTCCACGTCGGCGCACCACCGCGCCACGTCCAGCGCCGGCGTGCCCCGGAACGCCACCACCACCAGCTCCGCGTCCGCCGCCTTGTCGCAGAACACGAACGCCTGCGCCGTGTACGCGTTCTCGAACTCTGCACAATACAACAAACACCACACGCATAACATCAAACACGTTGCGTGCGTGCGCCGGTGCGCGCATGGAGCTGTACAGAACCTGTCCTTGATGCTGTGCTTACCGTTCCAGCAGTTGAAGAACTGGACGAACTCCATCTGCCAGCGGCGGGTGACGACGTCGCGGATGAACGCCTCGTTCTCGTACGCCACCTTGGACGCCATGACGCAGAGCGCGGCGTGGTACCGGCTGTCCGCCGGCGTGATGCTCCTCTCCAGATCAACCCTCGGGTCGATGAGCCCGGTGATTGATCGGTACGACGCCGACTTCCGATCAGGATACTCCATTCTCCCTGCACCAACACACAATTAGGGTTAACTATCCGAGACATCCATGCAAGCTAGTGTCACCACTGACCATGGAGGACGTTGCTGGCGAGGTTGAGGGCGAACTCGAGCGCGCCGCCGAGGACGGCGACGAGGGGGCCGACTAGCGAGAGGAGGAAGAGCTGCAGGAGGAGGTTGAGGAAGATGGAGAGGCGGCGCCGGAAGCTGTGGAGCTCGGTGCTGGTGAAGCAGTCGACGGCCTTGTTCCGGCCGACCTTGGGGGAGAAGAGGAGGTGCAGGAGCTCGTACGCGCCGGCCCTGTCAGGGCGCAGCACCATGTAGTCATTGCTGAAGCAGTAGTCGAGCTTGCTCATGGCGGCGAGAACTCGATCGATCGATTGCTAGTAGAGCTCGTCGTCGTCAATGGCTATGGATGACAAGTCGACGACGACGACGACGACGACTCCAGATATCTATCTAGCATTCTCGCTACCTCTCCGCTATGCAGGCCGAGTAAAATAAATTAAATGGCGTTCACAAAATAAAGCTGTGGACTGTAACATTTTTTCGGATGAGTAGCCATGACTGATTAGAAGATCTCTGAAATCTGAAAAAAAAATGTTCACATATTTCATTGGCTCTGGAGCATCTCTTCTCGTATGTTCGATGGATATCTTGCGACAATTTGTTTGTGGTTTACTGTAGACTAGTTTTTTGTGGCAGTGAGATAGTCACTTGTTTTTGTTCCAAGATTCAGGATAACCGATCGAGCTATCCGGTGTACAGTTGTAGTGCTATTACTTTCATCTTGCAATATACGAGCATCTTTCCTATCCTTGAGAAGGTATCATGAGGTACGAGATATCATGAGGTACCAATGTAATCTAACCGTTGATTTAGCACGGTACGATCGGACTAACAAAAATAAGGTCTCTCTTCATCATCCGTGCCGGCCAGGGACGTCACGCATCGAGGTAGCCACGTCGTTGCGCATCGAGGCCGCCGCCGCCGCCGCGCATCCAGCCCGTTGCCATCGTCGCCCATCGAGGCCGCCGCCGCCGTCGTGCATCCAGCCGGCCGCCGCCGTCACGCATCGACCCCGCCGCCGCCGTCACACATCGACCCCGCCGCTGTTGTCGCGCATCCAGCCGCCCACCGCCGCCGTCGCTCATCCAGGCGCCACCGCCGTCCCCCTCGAGCCTGCCGTCACGCTGCTGCTCTCCTGAGGAGTTTTTTTCTCTCGTGAAACAAACAAAAGGACAGAAATACCCTCCCGCCCATGGTACCGCTTCAATGGGGAGGTGCAGTACCATGAGGTACGGATGATTTCTGACCGTTGAATGATGCCAGATCAACAGTTAGAATTTGGTACTGCACAACCTAAAGAACAGTAAAAAAACCTCGCAGTATAAGCTCAAAAACGGGTCAATGCCGGGCATTTACAATGACTGAAAACGATTGCAAAATTGACTCGAGTAGTTTTGTATGAAACGATTCGAATAATTCTGATTCAGATTGGTGACACTAACTACTTTTGAAGTGGTTGCCAAGCGTAGAAAGATTGGCGCCGTGCTCGTACTTGAATTATTATATGCTTTTGGAACTTTGTTGCTTTGATTATGTGATGTAGCGAATGCCCGAAAAGGATAACGCTACCTAGATGCTTCGCTGCTATGAGTCATATATAGCACCCATATATGTTTGAAGGTTCAGTATTCAGAAGTCCTATATACTACAAACGTTCAGGATTATTCAGAGATGTTCTATACTACAAAAGGGGGAAATTTGATGGAAACAGTGAAATAAAATACTAGCTGATCAGAATTATAACTGAATTCAATTTTGAAAAATATAAATTCATGGCATGGATTGATTGGAGCCGAGAATGAGAAAGGATGACACGTTCGTTCACCTGAACTCTGAAATCTGAAGCCTGATCAAAACCTGAAGTAGTCTCTTCTCAATATTCAGAAAAAAAAGAGCTGCATTTTTTTTTATGGCTGATGTAGCGATCGGCCGCATCAAAATCTGAGGCTAAAAGCCACCGGGATATGCTGCGTCCACGGAGACGACAGATGCATCCTCCGCATACACTTCAGATTTGCTATGATCACTGACACTGACACGAACGAACACTCGTTCTTGCGTGCTGCACCACTCGGTCGCAGATGCTTCTCGCGCGCCGCGAGCTGAATTTTTCTTTTGTTGGCTAGCTCACCTGCAGCCAACGCCACTCGCTCGCCGCGATCGATCTATCCACGTACTGATCACCAGCGGTTAAAACCCCCAAACACATCAGCAGCAGCCTCCGTCATCTCCACGCAGAGATTGATCAAACTCGTCAGTTAATCACCAGTTGGAACAAGATCGCATCAGAGTTTCCGGAAAACTGTTGGTATAATTTGATGGGGGCGCTGGCGGCGTCGATCGCGTCGCACCTGCCGTCGGGGGTGTCGGCGGCGGTGGCGGCGCTGGCGGCGAGCCCGGGGGAGGTGGTGAGGAGGGCGGCGGGGCTGGAGGACGAGCTCCGGGAGCTTCTCCGGCTGAACGGCGGCGGGCGCGGGCGGGGCGGCGCGGCGGCGGAGCAGGGGCAGGGCGAGCAGACGAGGGACAGGTTCGTGCGCGCGTACGAGCGGCTCAAGAGTGAGCTGCTCAACGACCGAGCCTTCAACTTCGACTTCACTGAGGAGACCAGGCAGTGGGTCGCCAAGGTACGTCTTACTCTCTCTATACCTAATGAACACGATTAATTGCAAGTTTATTACTGTACAACATACATGTGGTTTGGATTAAATCATGCTTGATCCATGGATCGTTAAGGTTTAGATGCAGATTTAACTCGGTTTTCATTTGCATTTTTTTTTCAAACTGTTAAACAGTGTGTTTTTTTAAAACTTTTTATATAAAAATTGCTTTAAAATATCAAATAAATTTATTTTAAGTTTAAAATAACTAAAGCTCAATTAATTGATTTTTTTTCGTTTTGTGTGCTCTGACTTTATCTCCATCTTAATTTCTCCCAAACACTGTGCATACATAGTTCTGTCACGGACAAATGTCAAAATTTCAAACCTAACTTTAAACTCCATGATGGGGTTTTTCACCCCAAGTATATTTTTTAGCATTAGTTTTTTAACTATAAATAATACATACTTTGACCAATAACATCTATAAAAGTAAGATGCTTTAAATAAAAAGAGTTGTATATTATGATAGTTTGTTTAATGATAAATCTAGTAACATCAATTTTATATTATTGATCTTTTTTATTTTTTTTGCTATTAAATAGTCAAAGTTAAAAATGATTGACTTAGCACTATTATGAACATGCTTATACTTTGAGACGGGGACATTATAAAATATTTTTGGTTGCTTAATTCATATGGCTTCTCTATACGCATCAAATTCACATTGATGGTTATGCCTGTCAAGATGAGTTCTTTAACTGTTCTTGGTACTAGTACCACTGAAAAAATGGTTCTTTTGTTTGTAACTTCTATGTTCAATACTTCAATCTAATCAAACCTGCAGAAATATTTTAACCTTGATGGTTTGTTTGGTAAAATACTTTTATATGGTGTTATCTCCGTTGTTTCTGACGAAAATGGAAATGTAATGCGTCCTCTGTTGTTTTCTTTGCTGTTGCAGATGATGGACTACAACGTGCCAGGAGGTGAGCAAGCTAGCATCCATGCCCATGCAGAATTGATCTGGCCCTGCTGCCCTGAAAGCTAAGCTGACATGTCTCGTGACGTTTTTCTGAAGGGAAACTGAACCGTGGGCTCTCGGTGGTGGACAGCTACATGCTGCTGAGACAAGGAACCGAGGTTGACGACGAGGATTTCTACCTCGCCTGCGTGCTCGGTTGGTGCGTCGAATGGGTAAACAACACCGTCATCCCTGCCCAATCACTAGCGAAACAAAACTCTGTTGTGTCAGTCTGTCAGATCTTGGTACTATTCATCATGAATTTTGGTGCCTGAATTCTGCAGCTGCAAGCGTCAGCCCTTGTGCTCGATGACATCACGGACAACGCCTACACGAGGCGAGATAACCTCTGCTGGTACAAGCTACCAACGGTGCGATCCATTTCTTGCTGTGTTCTCTTTGTGGTAGATCTGAATCTCTGTCCTGAGAATGATTGATTAACTGAAAAATGTTCGTGTAATTGACAATTTTGTCAGGTTGGCATGTCTGCTATAAACGATGGTGTGCTGCTCAAGTGCCATGTCCAGGCAATCATCAAGAGATACTTCAAGGAGAAGTTCTACTTCCTGGACCTCATGGAGCTATGGAACGAGGTAATTGGAGGGCCTGAACAAACACAAAACTTGTTAGGATTTCATCTTTAATTGGCATATATTGCTCAGTTTTGATCTTGTTTTTTGGGACAGATAGGCTTGCAGACTGCCATGGGGCAGATGCTGGATCTCATCACCACTCATACCGGCGCCAAGGATCTCGCCAGATACAGAATTCAGGGGTATGCATGCAGTGTATAAGTAACTCTACTCAAGTTAAAATAGCATTAGTGATTTCTCTTAATTTGCTCCCAAATTGATTCTGCCAGGTACCGTCGCATTGTCAAGTACAAGACATCATACTATTCGTTCTACCTGCCGGTGAGTCTGAGCTTCAAACTGAACAGTTAAATGAATGATGAAATTCCTCTAGTTCTGAAAAGACAACTGTTTGTTGTAGTAGACCAGTAGTTCTGAATTTGTTTCCTTTTCATCAGGTTGCATGTGCATTACTCTTGAATGGCGCGAGATTGAGTGACTATGTTGAGCTGAAAAATGTACTTATCGAAATGGGCGTATACTTTCAGATACAGGTCCGTTTATACTTCCTAAATGGTTGTATTGTCCTCAACTTCATGATTAATTCTGACATAAATGCACTTCTCAGGATGACTACTTGGATTGCTTTGGTGACCCAGAAGTGATTGGCAAGGTACTTACATAAAAACTTGTCTTTACATTTTGTTTCTGCTGGTAAAATGCTCTGCTTTACTGAGCTCAATGTGGTACAGGTTGGAACAGACATTGAAGACTACAAGTGTTCCTGGCTAATAGTACAGGCTATGGAACTCGCCAATGAGAATGAGATGAAAATACTATATGTAAGAAAAACCACAATTTTTTTCTTCTATGCTATGATCTCTTCGGAGAAAGCAACCACAGATTTTTTCCAAGTACTAACTGCACATATATTTGCGTGTAAATTTGTTGATTTCTCAGGAGAACTACGGGAAGTCTGACCCAAAATGCGTAGCAGAAGTGAAGAGCGTTTACAGGGAGCTTGATCTTCAGGTACTACAACTCTTTCTAACCAGACTAGTTAGAAAGCATAATAAGATATGCAATGCCATGACCCTTTTAACAAGTTCATCTGGTTCTGTATTAGCCACCCTGATTGTTACTCGAAAGGTGAATTTTCCAACCACAGAAAAACGAGACATCTAACTGTGAACGTTTTTCTTGCTCCTTTATTACTTATGTAGGACATATTTTTGGAGTACGAGTCAAGAGTTTACAAGCACCTGGTTTCGACCATCGACGCCGAGACTGACCGTGCAATTCGGGATATTTTGAAGTCGTTTCTGAAGAAGATTTACAGGAGGAAGAAGTAGAAACACCTTTCCACAGTGGCTGCTTGAGTTCGGACACAACCGCTTGGCAAGTTGGACAGTTGGAGGATGCGATGCGCTACATTGAATGACATGCATATGCCCTCTGATACTGTTCACAAAAAAAATTGTAACTTCTGGAACTGGGAGAGGATACCGCCATGCACACATGTGGCTAAGTAAAAGAAGACATATGTATTGTGTTGCTATGTGACACTAATAATATGCAATAGAATGGTCTTCCGTAGTATGTGAAAAGAGTATGTTTTTTAATGTTAATTTGGTAATAAAATTTTTAGTACAATGGTATGTATGGTTGTAGATGTATAAATTCATCCATGTTGAGAGCATTGTTGGACCGGACATGGCAATCCATGAAGTGTTTTAGTTGGGTGGATGGGACGTTTTATTTTTTTAAGCATGAGATGAGCCAATCTTTTTTTTTTAATAAAACATATACTAATTATTCTTAATCTTATTCTAATCAATAATAGTTACTCCCTCCGGTTTAATAATTCTTAATGTTTTGGATAATGACATGGTCTTTAAAATATATCTTCTAAAATATATCTTTGTCTATATTTTGTTATTAAAATATACGCAATAAATTAATATTTTTTTACTTTTATTGTAGTACTTTATATGGCAAATATGCATATGTTGTTCTAATGCCTTAAAACTAAATAACTTTCCGTTCTGCTAAATTTGTGGCGCCACAATTTTACCTTGATTTCAGTCGATTCTTTGACCCACACGATTGACGCCGAGATTCGTGCTCTTGTACATAACCACCAGAAATACGATAACTTCACCGAGCAGATGTGTTACGTTGGGTACTGCTACATGCTCGTACACAGTTGCACATTGGTCAAAGTAAGAGACCGGACGAATGAGAACACGTAACGAGAGAGGGATAAAATAGTTAGTGTTATATAATTACTTCCTAATTACACTATAATTACATACTATTTACATATGTAATTTTAGAACTTACATATGTAATTTTGAGACTTACAGTGTAAATACATTGAAATTACATATGTAATTTTAGGGACTTACAATGTAAATATATTCTGACTATTTTTTCATGAAAAATATGGCGTCATATAGATAGATAGTCCCATAACTTTTAAGTTATTGATAGTCAAAGTTATAAAACCCTCTGCGCCAATTAGCATTGCGTTCATCCACCCTCGTTGAACCAAAACACATGTAAAATTAGGGGAGTAAGTTCACTTAGGTCCCTCTATTTATCGCCCAGTCTGATTTTCATCCCTGAGATGTAAAACCGGGTACGACTCGTCCCCCAACTTATGAAAACCGGACAAACGAGGTCCCTCGGCGGTTTTGGTTGACGTGGCGCCTACGTAACTAATTTGACTCGGTCTTCATCTGACGTGGCAATCCAATCAAAAAAATAATAAAACCCATGGGACCCACATGTCAGTTTTACACAAAATAATAAAAAATGGTGGGACCCACGTGGGCCCCATACGTCATCCTCACTCCTCCCTGTTCTCTCTATCCTCTCTCTCCCCTCTTCTCTCTATCCCTTCTCTCTATCCGGTCGATGGAGCGGGGCGAGCGGCGGCCGGCAGAAACGGGCGGGGCGGAGTGGCATCGGGCGTCGCGACGGACCTCACCGCGGCTCCACCTTGCCCAGCGAGTCGATGATGAGCGACAAGCTTCAGATGCTCAAGAGAGGGATGTGCCCCGTCATCGCCTCTCACGGCCCGACCGACCGCCTCGCCATCGTCGCCTTCTCTGGCGCCGCCAAGCGCCTCCTGCCGCTGCGCCGGATGACGCGCCAGATTGTCGACCGCCTCCGCCGCCCAGGGCCAGGAACAGCCGCAGGCCGTCTGCATTAGCGACGCGCTGCGCAAGGCCACCAAGGTGCTTGAGGACCGCCGCGACCGCAACCCGTCGCCACCGTCATGCTCCTCTCTGACACGCAGCAGCAGCAGGATGCGAGGAAGCCCGGCGCGGTCCGGCGCCCGCCAGCCGCCCCTCCGGACACGCGAGTCACGCACGTCTTGTGCGGCCACGGGCAGCAGGCGGCAGCCCTTGGCGGCGGTGGCGACGGCTCGGCGGTGAGTGTCTCCCTGGGCGAGAAGTACGCGGAGGATATTCGATTTGTTTGTATGATCCTATCAATCCGTAAGGATTCAGTGGCTCATCTTCATCAACCATCTCTTGTGCTTCTGCAGCAAATGTTAACCCCAACAGTTAGGAATCAAAGAAATTGAATGGCAAAGCGATTTTAGTTCTCATATGTGGAGTAATAATGAAGAAAGATACATACTTATCGATGATTTGTGTAGGTCATAAACAACCATTAGCCGTCTCTGCAGGATTGCCGCCATGAAGACAAACATAGAACACATGCCAAACATGACAGTGATAGGGAATGTCTCGTCATCGTCGTCGCCTTCTTCCTCTGGCTTCTTGGCCAACGGCGGCGATGGCCGGTCGCATTGTCTTATTCGTTGGTTTCTTGCCAACCGGAGGCGATGGTCGCCTCGTCGTCTTCCTCGGGTTTCTTGGCGAATGGCTGCGAGGGAGATCGTCGTTTGATCTTGTCAATGGTTGGATGCAGCGGGCAGGGAGGAGATCGTGGAGGCGGCAGTGGACCAGGTGAAGGTGCTGGAGGACACGGTGGCCGTGCTGGAGCCTGGCTGGAGGCGTAGTGGCGTACCTGGAGGTGCAGCCGTGCAGGTTGGCGGCACCGCCGCCGCCGCCGAGGTGTCCGTGTCGTACCGGGAGGCGGGGAGAGAGAAGGAAGATAGGAGGGTGAGAATGACATGCAGGACCCACGTGGGTCCCACCATCTTTAGTTTCTTTTAACTGACACGTGGACGTCCAGTTTTTATTATTTTTGGGATCGAATTGTCACGTAAGCGCCACGTCAGATGTACACCGAGTCAAATTAGCCATGTAGGTGCCACGTCAGCCAAAACCGATATCAAAACCGCCGAGGGACCTCGTTTGCCCGGTTTTCGTAAGTTGGGGGACGGGTCGTATCCGGTTTTGCGGTTCAGGGACGAAAATCAGACTGGGCGACAAATAGAGGGATCTAAAGTGAACTTATTCCAAAATTAGGATAGCCAACTCTAATGAGAGATCCTAAATTCAAAATGTCACACTCCCACCAAATTAGGTCTTTCCTTAGATCTTGTCTGGGCCGTAGCAATTTGATTGTGAATATTATTCAGAGCCAAATTAGGCCCATCATAAATTAGAGAACCGATCCAAATTGGGCCATGCTAATTGGAAGGAGGACTGGACGACCTGCCTAACCGGCCCATGCATTCATTCATGATCAACTACTAATTAGCTGATGCGCATCTTCAGAGTGACAGTCCCAGATTAAAGCTAACACAGCAAACATCCAGCTAGATATGCTTTCATCTCAATTAGTTCTTGTAATCCACTAGCTTCTTGCTAAACGTTCTAGTGAAAGATGTAATTGTGTTTTCATATCAATAAAACGCGCCAAATGGCTTCCCTAAAAAAAAATCATCCAGCAAATCATTTCAATTCGCTCCCATTCAGGCCCAACAACCCCACGTCCCGGCTTTACTGACACTACGCTAAATCCAGCAAAGTTCATGGACGAACATGCATGTTCCGGCGATCAACCGGCTCATAATCTCAGCGGTTTCCGCACCTGCCACTGTTGCAGCAACAGGCAACCACAGCTGCCGTTGCCGCAACAGTACGCGTAGTTAGAGACGCAGCGTGCTCGCATGTTAGGCGTCACGTGAAGCAGCGGCCTTAGATCGAGCCAAGCACGCGAAAGTTGGCCCAAATGGCGTCTAGAATTGGATTTTTTTTCATTTTCAATTTTATTTTTTTAATATTTACAGAAATATTATACCATCTAAAATATTTACACAAATGCAATTTTTGCCGTACTAAAAATGCATTTTTCTAGTTTTTTTTCAACTTGTCTGTCCCTCACGTCACCCTGCCGCCCTACTTCTGTAAATATTTTCGCGGTACAATATTTCTGTAAATATTAAAAAATAAAAATGAAAAAAATTCTCTAGAATTGAGCCTACGTACGTGCTGTAGAGTTTAGTTGGCGATGATGAGATAATACCTGGTCGGCCGACGTACGTACCTGACGGCCTGAAACGCTGGATCGATCGAACCTGTGTTTAGCTTCTCTTCTTCTGTAATCAGAGGATAAGAGCGATAAAGGCAATAACAAGCTGAGAAATAAATGCAACTTGTTCAGACTTCAGAACTTGATTGATTATAACTTAGTACTTCATCCACTCTAAAATATGAAAAATTTTAGGTTGTTTAGTAAATACTTTTTTGAAAGGAATCAGCACGAGATTGTGCTATTTCATTAGATATAGGCGTAAAAAAATACAACCCCTAGGGGCAAAAAAAAAAGAGCTGTACAAAATTACATAAGCGCTATGATTAAGTTGGTAGGAATTCTCCAAGTCGCCTTGCGCCTGCCATTATCCAGGTTCTTGCCTCTTCCTTTATTTTTGCTATAAGATTGGGGGCCGCCGTTTCCTTGTGCTCGAAGATCCTTTGGTTCTGTTTAGTAAATACTAAGGTTAAGTCAAAATAATATTTCCTTTTAGTAACTGCTGTTAATTTAAATACTTGAAAATCCTTATATTTTGAAACAACATAACGATATTCTAAGTACCTCTTCACAGGCAGGCCTGCAACATGCGTCACGCAGACTTTGATGATTGATGCATCATGCATCACGTGCTCATGGTGGCAGAAGGGGTCGGCAACGTAGCTTGCTGTTCTTTTCGCTATGATGACGCCAATGGAGCTACGAAGTAGGAAATACATTGGTATTTCAGTATTTCAGTAACCAGTTCCACGAGCAGCAATAGCTAGCTACCACCGCCCGAACCACCTGTTTGGCAGAAAATTGAACACTCGCATGAGCTCAGCAAAAGGCCTACCTTCTGGTTCGATCTTCTCCCGCCACGTTCTGCACTTGTGCAGTCAACAAGCAACCGATCCAGCTTCGGGGGCCTCTACAAATACAGCTCCTCCATAGACTTCACTTACCTCGCAAATCACAAGCAACATCACCACAGATCGATCGAGACAGCTACTGACATCAACGTGAAAAAGGGAAGAAGAACTAACCATGTCCATGCAGGAGATGCTCCGCATTGGAGACGACGACGGCCGGAGCGATGCTCTGGAACGCGAGCTCAAGGAGAAGCTGAGGTTGCGCGGCGATGCCTCACCGGCGAAATGCACCAGGCAGGAGCAGCGGTGGCGGTCTGATCATGGCATCGTCGACGCCCGCGAGAGGTTCGTGCAGGCGTACGGCCGCCTCAGGGACGATCTCGTCGGCGACGACTCGTGCGAGCTCACCGACGAAGCCAGGCGCTGGCTTGCTCAGGTATACTGTATATACATTATTCACTTGTAACGGGGAAACTGAAGCTAATATTTTATATAATTTCATTGTTGAAGAAAGTGAAGTTAATCTTCTATATAGTTTCAGTGCTAAAAGTTTTGATTCCTTCTTATCTTTATTTTCTTTGGGCAGATGATCGACTACAATGTACCTGGAGGTGAGGAGGCATCTTCTAAAGCATTGCAAGTCTGAACATCTCTGATCTGAAAATTGGACAAGTGTTAAAAAAATATAGTGCACACTTTACATTCAGAGAGTGCAAGTGAATCTAGCTGAGTTTCGGTTTTGAAAAAAAAAAAAAGAGAAAAAACCTTTTACAAGTGTCTCAACTCTCAAGTCACAAAATTTTCAATGCAATCTTCTGTTTCTCTAAAGGAAAGTTGAACCGAGGGCTGTCAGTGATAGACAGTTACCTGCTGTTGAAACAAGGAAGTGAGGTTACTGAAGATGACTTCTTCCTTGCTTGTGTGCTTGGTTGGTGTGTAGAATGGGTAATGTTGCTCAATCCATCTGCTCATCATCCTTTTATTCCTGAATCTGCTCATGCCGATACTAACAGGTTTCAATTATCTTTGGTTCTATCAAAAATGCATGTAGTTTCAAGCATGTGCACTACTACTTGATGACATCATGGACGATTCACATACCAGGAGAGATCAGATTTGCTGGTACCGGCGACCTGAGGTTCTTCAACCCATCTTCACATGATACTCTGATTCTCTTAATAAGCTGTAACAAAACAGGCCACTTAGTTCTTCCACCTATATTTCTGTTACAGGTTGGCCTCAGGGGTATAAACGATGGTATCATACTAAAATGTCACATCTTGATAATGATAAAAAAGTATTTCAGAGAAAAGCCTTACTTTCTTGATATCTTAGAAATATGGAGCGAGGTCAGCAAACATCTGAATTACTACTGAAACATCAATTATCATAATTTCTGATGGTGGTTGATACTGTTTAGAATGGATATTTTGTTCAGATAGCTCTGCAGACTTCTCTGGGGCAGATGCTTGATCTTATTAGCACACATACTGGAGCAGATGATCTTGCAAAATACAGTATTGAAGGGTACATAATCTAGATCCATCTACCTCTCCCTCTCTTTTATTTAATATTTGATTTGCTTATGATAATATTGGGATGTTGCTCGTATTCAATAACTATCTTTTCTCTTGTCATGTAGCTACCGTCGCATTGTTAAGTACAAGACAGCGTACTACTCCTTTTACCTTCCTGTAAGTCTGGAAGACCGAAACTCAGATGCAGTCCTACTTTTCACTTGTCATAACGTCATGTATCTGAATATAGGCTGTAGAACTGTACAAGTTCTTCAAGTTCACGATATCATATGAATCAGATAAATAGAGGGGTTTCTTTGCGGCAAACTCTTGAAAAAAGGTGCAGGAAAAACATGTTGAGGAAGAATGAAGTAGGCTATCCTAAATTCTGATCATACCTGTCCTCAGTTGCTACATGAATCTTTTTCAGACAGAAATTACGTTCTTCAGATGATAATTGTGGCGTGCAGTACATTGGTTGGTAATCTATGTATCTTCAATTAGTGCATTATGATGTTCACATTTTCCTCTACAACTATAGGTGGCCAATGCTTTGCTCTTATCTGGCGCAAAACTTGAAGACTTCAGTGGTCTAAAGGATATACTTATTGAAATGGGCATATATTTTCAGATACAGGTATATGGCATGCTTTTTTTTCTTTAATGAAACCTTAAAGTCAATTTTACCTTTACTTTGCCTTTTCAGGATGACTACTTGGACTGTTTTGCTGACCCTAACACCATAGGCAAGGTAAGGACAAAGATCAAAATAGTTTTCAGCAACTAAGAGAACAACTGACAGCTGACATTATTCTACATTGAAGATTGGAACTGACATCGAAGATCATAAGTGTTCCTGGTTAATAGTACAGGCTCTTGGTCATGCTGACAACAATCAAATAGAAGTACTACATGTAAGTTACCATCTTGTTCTATCTGAAAAAGTATGGACATGAACAGAAATAATAACCTCCTGCGCAATTCACAGAGGAACTATGGCAAGAAGGATTCAAGTTCTGTTTCCGAAGTAAAGAGGACTTACGCGGCGCTTGATTTGAAAGTATGCCCGTGATGTTACCTTTTCTTTAGCTCATTTCACATTGCTTGCTGTAGTAATGTAGATATGGGCCATTGATTTGGCTGACTGTGAGTTCTGTCCTCCCCAGGATATCTTCTCCGAGTTCGAACGTCGATGCTACAACCACCTGGTCACCTCTATCGAAGCTCAGAAGGATCATGCAGCACGGGAGATCCTGATATCATTTCTGAAGAAAATTCATCAAAGGAAGAAGTAGTTAATAAGTTATAACAATTATGACCTGTATGAGCTTATGGTAACATTTAAAAATGATCGAAATCTATCTCCCCATAAGTTATAATAACACTATCTCCGGTTTCAAACGTATGACGATGTTACTTTTTAATTCGTTTGAGTTTAAGCAAAAAAAATCAATGGGTGTCACATACATTTAAAAACGGAGGGAGTTTCAAGTTACCAACGGCCATATTCATTGCAACATTCGTAAATCAGATTAAAGGAAAAAAAGATCAATACAATGCTTGGGTTCCCAATGACTTTGCTTCTTACATTTCTCTAGTACGATTGGTCGGATCCAATTGATCAATATTTACGAATGGTCTAGCAGCAATGATTTGTGCACATGAATCCAATCACATATCCTTAGGCCATGTTTAGATCCCACCCTTAAACGTTTGAACACCTGTATGAAGTATTAAATATAGGCTTAAAAAATAACTAATTGCACAGATTGCGACTAATTTGCGAGACGAATCTTTTAAGTCTAATTGCTCCATGATCTGACAATGTGGTGCTATAGTAAACTTTTGCTAATGACGGATTAATTAGTCTTAATAAATTCGTCTCGCAGTTTACAGACAGAATCTGTAATTTGTTAGTCTACGTGTAATACTTCAAATGTGTGTCCGTATATCCTATGTGACCCGCTAAAACTTTTTACCCCTGGATCTAAACACAGCCTTAGTAACACGGGGATTTTCTCCGAGACTTAAATCGGATTCGCCATATTTTCTCGATGAATTTAAACTGGATTTTCTCCGAGACGGAAGGATCAGCAGATCATACCTTTGCCAGCTTTCTCGTTCACTGGGATAGGAGATGGCCAGCCGCAGCCGAAGCCCAAAAGCGCCATGGATTCTCTCTTCGAGCACATCCGCCGCTCCGCCCTTGCGTCGCCTAGCACCCGGAAGTACAGCACCGTAGCAAGCCAAAGCCAGGTAAGAACTGTACCCATCTCCGTACGAATGCCATGATCGCATCAGAATTCAGAACACACCATCACCTCATCTGTTTATCGCTGATGTCTGAAACCTGCACTGCAGCAGTGTGTTTTTGTTGAATGGCGATTTTATCAAGTGATGAGACGCACCATCGCATTCGACGGTGTACCTGGAATGTAGAAGCAACAGGACAGCGATTTATTCCTCTTATTCTGGGATTATCTCACACTTCAAGCACAAATTTCTCTGAGAAAAATTTGTTTATCTACATTTTATTACAGGGAGGGAAAGATAATTGGAGATTTGCTGAGAAGCAGCGATGGCGGAATTTGGGTATTTGCTCAAAGCTTCAGACAGGTATTACAGAGACAAATAGATTTAAATTACATTGCTTTGAGAGATAACACTAAACAATGTCTGAAGAAAAATCTTTTGAGTGATGCCTGATAGTCACAGCAATTTTTCACACAATTCCCTGTTTCTAAATCAAGGGCTAGCAGAGATCGATAGTTATCTGCTGTTGAAATATGGAATCAGGATTACAGTAGATGATTTATTTGGTCCCTTGCATCTTCTTGTATGGTGTTTAGACTGGGGGGTAGCCATGCTCAAATCATCTGCTCACAGTCACTTTTCAGTAATTTTGTTCCCTTCTTTTTCATCCATACCAATTGCAATATCATGCGAATCTATCTATTATATACTAAAAGTCCATTAAACTTCCTACAAACGCTCCTAAACCGCCACGTGCCCCCCTACAAACGCTCCTACGCCGCCACGTGGCACTCTAATAAATTAGAAGAATTAAGCAAAGCATCTAGCCGTTGGTTTTCATTTAATCTGGTGGACCCACTATTTTTAAACGTTAGATATAGCATAAAAAATATCAATTAGATTTATTATTATCTTTAAAAATCCACACATGCCCTGTACGTGTACGTGCATGTACGTTACATATTTTGTACGTGGGCCCCACTCCCCCTTTTCTTTTTTCTTTTTCACTAACACATGAGAAAAAACAAAATTCATATTCCAGCCCATATGGTTCGGAGTATGTACTTGCATGTAGGGCCTCACGTCCCCACTTTTCTTGTCTTTTTCCTTTTTTTCACTCACATGAGATAAAAACCACGTTAATAATTTCAACCCATAGTTGTACAAATATAAGTTATTTTGAGTTCGTATTGTACTATACGCACGTCATCGAAATATTCATAAAATATCTAAATAAATGAATAATATACATTATATAATCTATCTATCTATTATATACTAAAAGTCCATTAAACTTTCTATAAACACTCTCAAACCATCACGTGGCGCTCTGATATATTAGAGAAAATCATAAAAATTCTAAGAAAAAAGAAAAACATCTACCCCTTGATTTTACACTTAAATTGGTGGGTCCTATATTACACACCGTTAGATGAAATTGATCTTAAAACAAACCAAGTACTATAGGGTCCCACCTCTCCTCCTTCTCCCGCACATGTGTGGGTATACGTATGTACCATGGTATGTATGCTTCCTTCCCTTCTTTTTTTTCCTTTTTTCTTATTTTCCCCATTTATATAATAGATATATATATATATATATATATATATAAAATCATAATTTCACCAACAAAGAATGCTCACAGGTAACTAAATTAGCTCTACAATTTTTGAAAATAAAATTTACACCATTATATGTTACCATTAAATTAATAATGTTATATATTTTCTACATAAACATGTGTACTCATTATTTTGTACTATTATTTTCACATAATACACTATTTTAAAATAAAGTTTACACAATTATATTGTGTACCTATCAAATAAACAATTTTAATCTATATTAACTAATTTATATGTGCACTTAAACCGATGGACCCATTATTTAAATCATCGGAACTATTTTTTATTACATTGGACTATTATTCTCAAATAATGCACTAAAGTCTACATCATTATATTGTGTACCCATTAAATTAAAAATTTAAAATCTATAATAACTAATGTACACTTATAAAGAACCGGTGGACTCATCATTTAAATCATCTGATATATTATTTGCTAATAAATAAAGCGTCCGAAGTTCTCTTTTTGGCCCGCTACACAATGCACGTCTGCACCTTTACCTTTTGCACGCGTGACAAAGCATCGTGTCTGAGGCATCTAAGGTGATTATGACTGCCGCAGCACTAACGTTTTGCCACATATAAATTCATACATGGAGAAGATTAATTTATTAATAACATGAAAAGAAAATTAGAGGTGTGATGCAGCAAGAGCAGAATTAAGCAATATGGGTTGCGTTTTTTCTAACACTTAGCTCTATTTAAGTTGAAATCGAGAGTTAATTACAGAATAATTATAATGTATTGTGTTATGTCGTGTTTGGATTTTGTACTATTTGTAGCTCTATTTAAGTTGGAATCGAAAGTTAATTACATAATAATTATAATGTATTGTGTTATGTCATATTTGGATTTTGTACTATTTGTTGGTATACGTAAAAGAAATCATTATGTTATAATATGAGCAAAATATTAACGAATATCAATAGAACTCTTACAAAGACAAGAGTGCTATAAGGAAGTTTAAGACCCTCTTTTTTTCCTTGATTCTATAGTTGGATTTTCGTTTGCACGCTTTCCAAGTTTCTAAACGGTGTCATTTTTAAACAACATTTTAACTTTTTAGAAGTCAATTCATTCATGTATACCCTCAAATAGCTATCACATAAATAAGATAATTCATCAATTTCAGCTGTCCTAAACCCTAAGTAGTATATATTTTTTTCATGCGAGTCATGGTGATCATTAAATTAGGGATCAACGGATAATCAAAGTCGTAAGATGAATATGTACAAACTACTATCAACATCTGTAAATTGGTGTCAAAATTAATTGCTACTAATTAGACATCTAATGGCTTGCTAGCCACATAATTAATTTCTCTCGACATGTATATAAACATGCACGAAGCTAGAACAAATATTACCATATGCCCCATACATATATATTAAGCGGTTAATATTCTAATTACATGTGTTAAGTCCTTTAAAATTTCTTAAAGTGCTCTCAAGCTGTCACGTGGTGCTCTAATAAATTAGAGGAAATATTAGAAATTCTATGGAAAGAAAAGCAAAGTATCCATTACTTGATTTTCGGTTAAATCGGTACGCCCAATATTATAAACCGTTATATTAAATTGATCTTAGAGCAAACTAAATACTGCAAGGTCCCACCTCTCATCCCCTGGCATAGGTACGCACCTACGTACATGGGTACGTACGCTTTCCATCCCTTTTTTCATTTTTCCCTTTCTTTTTCTTTCTATGCATACACTCCCCTCCCCCCTTTCCTACTATATCATGCGCCTTCATGAGACAATTTATCACAAGAATTTTGAGTATCTTGCTCTCGTATTTTTCATTTGTGGCCATACAACACGATATGTATATGAATGGCCTGTATGATATTTAACTAGCAATAGTTTATTATTTACTCGAGAAAAAAATGATTCAAAAGTCGTAAGTACTTAATTCATCTCCTACTCAAAGTTTGTGAATGGTTTTTTAAGATACATTAAGAAAAATAGAACCCTTAAATAATCATAAAATGACATTATCCGAGCTTTAGTTTGCCCTTAATCTATGAGACAAAATTTTTGAACAACAATAATCTTATCTTTCAATAATATAAGTGCCCACGCATGCGCGCGGGCCACCTTCCTAGTTGACTTAATTCACACACGAGAGATCAAATTTTCTGGCAGTGAAGTCCTGATGTTCTTCAGCAGAGCATACCTATCCATTTTCAGTTTCAGATGGAGCATGTTTTTTTCCCCTAAATACGCTCTATTAATGGAACCTAAAATCTATAATGGTGGTGGTGATTGGCAGAACTGCGACTGACATGTGGGCCATGGTATAAGTATAAGTTATGAGTGTTTGACATGTCTTCGCTGTGCCCCTGCGGCTTAGAGGTTCGCGCACAATTGCTTCTGGCCTGCGAACAATTCCTGGATTTCTGACATCCGCGGCGCCCTCAATGTCCCAATCATCTCCCAGTTTCTCCTTGTTTAGGATGCGGTGCTTCACATTCAGCTTTCGCCGGGTGTCGGTGATCGTCTTGTTTAGCGCTGGACGAGTGACCAATGCTACTCGGTGCGTTCGGCGTACCAGGCGCTCTTCTATGGCCAGCACTCTTTTGCATGTGCTGATCTTCTCTGGCACGCGAAGGGTCCTGTTAAATGCAAATTATTTCTCTGGTTTGCATTTCAGCAGCGTTGTTGGACGGCTGATCACCTCCAGAAGCGTGGCATCGATTCAGCAGCGCTGTCGGACGGCTGATCTCCTCCATAAGCGTGGCATCGATAGCCACTCGGCTTGCCCCTTTTGCGCTCAGGAGCTTGAGACGGCGAACCACATCCTCTTCGATTGTGTGTTCGCTTGTTAGGTCTGGTTATGGGTGTTGTCCCCTCCTGGCTGGGCTGCCCTCTCCCCGCCCCCCCTGGTGGCACTGGCTCCAGGACTGGTGGCCATCTTCTAGGGCCTGTTTACCTGAACGCCTCCGTACCGGCTTCGACTCCCTGATCCACCTGGTCTCTTGGCAACTGTGGAAGGAACGGAACTCTAGGGTTTTTGACTCTGCACTCTCTTCGGTCTCAGTGGTTTTAGAGTCCATCCTTTCGGAAGGCCGGCTATGGTCGTTAGCGGGCGTTGCTTCCTTTGGGGATTTGTTGGGAGTGTAGCGTGACTCTGTCCCCTCCCACTGATTGAAGTAGCATTACCCGTCGTACGTGTTTTTCTTTTTCTTCCTTGCTTTTTGTCTTTGTTTTCTTCCACCTCTAGGCATAAGCTAGTCTGGCTGATTGCGTTGTGTAACAAAACTCTTTTCTTCTAATATATTGACGTGAATTCTTTTTGTGCGTTCGTGAAAAAGTGTTTGGCTAGTTTTTTCTGTATTTTTGTGGAGTAGCTGTACGTAGTCTTACTCTTTTGCTAGTCTTGCATTACTCTATAGGACACAGTTCTTTAATTCTCTATTGATTTGCTTCTTGCTATCTTGACTTAAAAAACTCACAAACTTTTTAGGGTTTTATTGTAATTTAAAATGAGATAGGCAAAACACTTTATTGACGATTACATATTTTATAATCACATCAAAAGGCATCTTGTTATCACGATTGGAGTCATCAGTCTGTACTGAAAACTAATATGATATTTTACTTTTTTTTAAGTCGAATAAGCCAATATTTTTTCAAGAGTAAAGTCCATCATCGGTCCCTAAACTTGTACCGCTGTGTCATCCCGGTCCCTAAACTCGCAAATCGACCGTTCAGGTCCTCAAACTTGTTCGATTGTGTCATCCCGGTCCCTAAACTTACAGATCACTCGTTTAGGTCCTCCAACTTGTTCAGTTGTGTCACCCCGGTCCCTAAATAAGACGGTCTAAAAACTTTATATCAAAAAATAATTCATAACTTTTTCATGTAAACTCTAATGAAGACAAACTTTATATCAAAATTGTAGCCCTAGACGCGACCTACAACTTTGTAGTTGAAAAGTTTTTGAATTAAAACTGTTTAGGGCCCCAAAATATTATTGTATGTTTATAGATTTTGAAATTTTAATTTTAAAATTACATTTTGGGACAAAAAATGACTTAAAATAAAAAAATTAACTACAAAGTTGTAGATCGCGTCGAGGGCTACAAGTTTGATATAAAGTTTATCTTCATTAGAGTTCACATGAAAAAGTTATGAATTATTTTTAAATATAAAGTCTTTAGACCGTTCTATTTAACCCAGATGATATTCAAATCCAAGTTTAGAGATCGGGGTGACACAACTGAACAAGTTGGAGGATCTAAACGAGTGATCTGCAAGTTTAGGGATCGGGATGACACGGTCGAACAAGTTTGAGGATCTAAACGGTCGATTTGCGAGTTTAGGGACCGGGAGGAAACATCGATACAAGTTTAGAGACCGGTGATGGATTTTACTCTTTTTTCAACAAGAGCGTAATATTTGTTGCTATTTTGAATAGTACGTAGCAACACGGGGGTATGCTGAAGTCCAGAAAATTTTTGATATATGATGAACCAGGCACTGGAAGCTTCTTTAAGACGCTGGGACCTAAACTGAAGTTGGCTCAATCAGAGTCATACTCTGAATCCTAATCCTTAAATTTATAGTACCTATCATCAGTTGCTGCATGAATACTTTTAATTTTTTTCACGAATGTGTAAAAATATTGTACGTCAGTATATTAGAAGAAAAGAGTTTATGTTACACAACCGACATGAATTCGTTTTAGAAAAAAAAAATCTTTACTCAGATAACTTTAGTTGTGAAACACAATTCTACATGCAGTATCTTTATTCGTTGCACACTCGAAATGTTCACCTTTTATTTTCTGTGGCTCTAGGTGGCTAACGTATTGCAAGATGTTGCTTTTGCCATACTACATCCATCCCAAAATATAATAACTTTTAGCTATGAATCTAGACATACAATTATTTTTATTTATAGCTAAAAATACTTAGGTAGTGTTTGGATCCAGGGACTTAACTTTAGTCTCTATATTTAGACACTAATTTAGAGTATTAAATATAGACTACTTATAAAACTAATTACATAAATAAAAGCTAATTCGCGAGACAAATTTTTTAAGCCTAATTAATCTATAATTAGAGAATGTTTACTGTAGCATCACATAGGCTAATTATGGATTAATTAGACTCAATAGATTCGTCTGGCGAATTAGTCCAAAATTATGGATGGGTTTTATTAATAGTCTACGTTTAATATTTATAATTAGTGTTCAAACATTCGATGTGATAGGGACTTAAAGTTTTAGTCCCATCTAAACATGGCCTTATATTTTGAAAGAGAGGGAGTACAGTTTTGGTACATACTATCATGCATTGCTGAACCCAAAGCTGTAGGAAAAGGTGACAACACTGGTCAAATTAGTTTTCAGAGACTTCGGTGACATCTACCGTCTGGCTCTTTGTTGCAGACTGAAGTTGTCAATGAAAATCACAAGTACTCCGTACTTCTGGATGCTTGTACAGGCTATTGCAATCAAACAGAGGTACTGCATGCTAGTCCTCGTCTCTTTCTGAGAAATGAACGTGAAAAGGCACTAATCTTTTTTATGTAAACAGAGGTATCTTGCATTCGTATTTCAGTACAGCTATGGGAAGAAGGGGGATGTGTAATCCACTAATCCTGAAATTCTACCTGCAGAAATTCATCGAAAGAAAAGTAGTAGTTAACACTCAAGACTATTCGCAATTTTATTGGCCTGCTGATTACATAAAAAAGATTGAGACCTTTCACACGCCATGAGGTATACTACTATCTTTTTAAAAAGATCCTCAGGAGTTAATAATATCAGGCTATGAATTAGCCATATCCATTGGAAACTTCTTAAACCAGGTCTTCTTTCTGGATCTCCATATTTTTGCTTGCGCCGACATGTGGGAAGCTAAAGGCCTAGCTAAACACAAGCTCTTCCTCTAATTAGCAGTTCAGCGGCATTGATGGACGATTGACCTTCTGTTAAAGCGCGGAATCGACGACCATTTGGTTTGCCCCTTCTATGCTCAAGAGCTTGAGACGGCGAACTATATATTACTTGATTGTGTGTTCTCTTTTCGCCATTGCGTTGTGTATTTTGAATTCTGGTTTTTTCTAATATATTATCGTGTAAATTTTTTGTGCATTCGCGAAAAAATCAGGTAAAGATGATGCTTGGGTTCCGGATGACTTGTTTCCTAATTTTCTCTTGTTCAAATGGTCAGTTCCGTATTTCTGATGCATGGGCTAGCTGTATGCATTGTGCACATGTGCACTATCATATCCTTCTGATCGTGCATGGTGCTAACATTTCCCTCCGTGATTGAAGGGAAATATTTCCTGTCATCTTTAAGGCAACTTGGGAACTGGCTCGCCGAAATTGACAGGATTTTGTCCGTGATTGAAGGATCGGCAGGACATACCTTCGCCAGCTTCAAGTTCAATATGGAATGGCCAGCCAGCCGTTAGTGGAAGATATGGCAGTTGTTCCTCATATTCTGAGTGTGTCCCATACTTCAAGCACAAGTGCACAAGTTATGTGAAGAAAAGCTTAGTCAGTCAGTTTGCATTTTACAGTGACAGAGAGGGCCTGAATTGGAGAGTTTCTCAAAGCCTCATACGTAGTGTAAATCGAGTAAAGGCTAAACAGTTTGGCATTGGCAGTATCAGGAAACGTTACCGAGAGAGAACACACGGAGGTGCAGTAGTTTAACACAAGACATGGACACCAGCTATCACAAGAGGCGAGACGATTCCGGCAGAAATGTCCAGAATCCCTCGTATTCTGCTTGGTGAAATAAACAAAGCATATATTTTTGCTTTTTCCTTGTGATAGATCGAGGATGCAGACCGCAGATGCACCCGTTCGAGACACTACAAAACAACACGTCCAATGCACTAGAGTGTAGAGGGTCCAGAGAAGGTCTTATATAGCATTAATCTACACTGTCAAGTTGCTTCCATGGTAAATAACATACTAATAGTAAGGTTTGCTTCTCCATTCTCCAATGTTTGAGTACATCCACTGATCCACCCATTTCCCCCAAGAAAACAACTCCCCTGCACTGCACCACTCGCATTGCATGTTGGTCTTCTGAAACACTCAGATGTGGGATTTGTTTTCTGCACCCAAGGTATGGGTCGAAGGCGTTGTAGTTTTTTCTATCCTGTTAACTAGTGTTAACTGTTGTGTGCTTCCATAGTTGTTTTCTGAGAGGGTCAAATTAACAAGTACTACATCTTGCTCAATTTGCAACAAATTAAGCAAGAGGTTCATGGAGGCCCTATATTTTGTTCTGTCAGATAAACCGATGTCTATTTGCTTCATCTGAATATGTTTCTCAAACGAAATGAAACCTGTCCCCAGTAATGGCTAATTGCTGCCATCATTCCAAGGATGGATGGTTTCAATCTCATCGAAACTTGCGGAAGAAACGCTTGCACCATTAGTCCATTATCCATCAGACACTAGCTAGTACACTGCTGCTGCTACAAGTTGGTCACAGCCGAAGACGATGCTGGAGTGTTGCTTATTGTATACTACTAGCTAAATGTATAGGCAGGGAAAGCGGGCGTGTTTCTGTGCAACATGTCCGTGAATCTTGTATTTTTCTCCGGGGTGCGCCTTGGGTAGCGGAGACAGGGAAAGGGAGACGGCATTGCTGCCATGCCATGGAGGTGGAGGGAGGTGAGGTGCATGCTGGCCACAAGCTGGACGCAACGAGACCATGTGAGAAAGCTTTGGATGGTAGCTACTCTGAATATGCGTGCAAGCCGAGAGGGTTCTTCAGCTCACTGCAGAGGAGACGATGCTAGCTGCTGCCCCAGTAGCCATACCTTAGACCTGGTGCACGCACGCGACCTCTTTTTTCTCGCTGCTCGTATACAATGTACAATTATACGGAGTACAATGTATTTTTTTCTTCAGATGTACACTTATACAGTGCTATAGTCTACAGTAGATGTACCCTAGTTCTGTGGCTTTGTGCTGCTATCTGGTCTTTAGTTTTCGTTGCTGAATCTTACAAGTAAAGTTGTTGCAGTACATCACACGGTGTCAGTGGCAAATGCACGTAGTAATCCCCCAATCTAGCTAGGTTGGCTGAGTCAGCCCCGCACCAAAGCTGATCAGACGCCGCACAAAAAAAAAGCGCTAGAAAAATGTTTCAGTTCATCGATAACCGGAAAAGGGAAAAAGATATTCCGTCCCATCTGCGCAAAGATCGTAACCACTTCTATGATTCCGGACTGTTTAGATCCGCTCGTATCAAATACTTGACACATGTATAAAGTATCAAATATAAAAAAAACTAATTATATAGATTGTATGTAAATTGTGAGATGAAATCTTAATTGCTTCATGATTTGATAATATGGTGCTACAGTAATCATTTACTAATAATAAACTAATTATGCTTAATAAACTCATCTCACATTTTATAGACGGAATTTATAATTTATTTTATATTAATCTATATTCAATACTTCAAATGTAAATGTATATCCCTATACCTGATGTGATACACCTAAACTTTTAACCGAAATCTAAACACAGTCTCTATCTCGATTCCCGCCGTAATGTTTCCGGCTCCTCCTCCCCCACATCGCCCGTTTTTTCCTTTGTTTTCTCAAGCTAAACCCCTGCTATATATTGCCACCCGAACTCCCGCATTTTTCTCCTCGCTCCCGCGTCCCACCACCACCCTCAAAGCAGACCACACACTGTGTCGCTGTCACACACACACCGGGCCGAGCTGAGCCTGAGCTTGTTCGGCGATGGCCAGGGCGGCGCACGGCGGCGGCGGCATGGGGCTTCTCGCGCGGGCGGCGCTCGTGGCATTCGTGGCGCTTGTGGGCGTCGGCGGCGGCGCGAGGGCCCAGCTGCGGCAGAACTACTACGGCAGCACGTGCCCCAACGCGGAGTCCACCGTCCGGTCCGTCATCTCGCAGCACCTCCAGCAGAGCTTCGCCGTCGGCCCCGGCACCCTCCGCCTCTTCTTCCACGACTGCTTCGTCAGGGTACGTCCTCTCTCTCGGTCTCGGTCTCTCGGCGTTTTGGGTGTTCATCTTCTCGGCGTTTGCGTTTGCAGGGGTGTGACGCGTCGGTGATGCTGATGGCGCCGAACGGCGACGACGAGAGCCACAGCGGCGCGGACGCCACGCTGTCGCCGGACGCGGTGGAGGCGATCAACAAGGCCAAGGCGGCGGTCGAGGCGCTCCCCGGCTGCGCCGGCAAGGTCTCCTGCGCGGACATCCTCGCCATGGCCGCCCGCGACGTCGTCTCCCTGGTAACAATAAACACTACTGTACACACAAATCCCCGTCCTGTCGCGACTCGTCACGTCCTAGTGTGCGTTCAACAATACTAGTACTACAATGCGGTGTACCGCCGGCTCGACTGTAGTGTAGGGCACGCCCTTGTCAGTCGCCAGCAAGCACGGACCCACCCTGATTGGCAAGCTCAAGCATCGGCGTAGTAGTACTAGCGTTCATACTCCCCATCATCCTGTGTGTGGAGTACTCCTAGTACGTTGCAATTGCAAGTGCTAACGCTTTTAAGCAGAGAGGGCAGCCGGGGGCCCACCACGCCGGTGCGATGACAGGTGGGGCCGACGGAGCTACTGTTGCATCCAGCGCGCCAGTAACCCCTTTTTTTTGACAAACTGGACCATCGATCGATCGATCTATCCAGCCGTGAGCCCATGGCCATGAGTCATGGCTGACTCCGGCCATGAGACACCGCAGACACGAGCCACGCATGGTCCATGTCTCCCCGGTTGGTTCCGGTGCTCCACGTCTCCACAGCCTGACCCGCACAGTGGCTGCAGGCAGTAGCCGCAGGCGCTGTGCTGGGTTCGGTTTAGTTCGGTCGCTCTGGCTGGCTGGCCTTTCGCAGTTTGGCCCCCTCCTACGAAAAAAAGAAAGAAAAGGGGAAAGTCGCTTACGGAGACATGTGAGCCGTGTCGGCCTCGGCTTCCGCGCGAGGAAACCGCCGCGCGGCGCTTGCGATTGCGCATGCGCACGGTCGTGGTTTGCTGGCTCGCGCACTGTGGCGCATTCGCCGGGTTTGATAGGCGATATCGCGTAGTGGCGGGGCGCGGGGCGCCCGAGCATACGAGCGTACGAGGCGGGTATTCTCCTCCTGTGTCTCCGGCTATCCGCTATCTTTTGAGATGGCAACAGCTTTGAGCGTACTGCGGCTACTGCCTGCACAGTATTGCTTTGAGCGTACGATGACTCTATTGAACGAGTATTGCTTTTTCTGCGGCATGGATTTCTGCGAAAGCGACGTCTCGTAGCCCGTAGGAGTGGTTTCTAAATTGTAACCTCGGTCCAACTGGGTAAATACTTCTCCTGAACTGTAGTACGCTGCTCCTGTCCGTGTTGCCCGTGACGCTTGCCGTATTACCCTTGCCTAAAAACAGTCCCGTGGCTGGGCTCGTGGGCGCTGCCAGAGCAAGGCTGGAAATTTTCCTCGTTCTCAGCAAGCAGGCAGACAAAATTTCCACCGGGTAGACATCTAGACATGACGTTGTATTAACAGTTCTCTCGGAGAGCCAAGAAAAGGTTGCTGAATAATCACAAGCCATGCATATCTACCTGCATTCTGAAACTGCTAATAATGAAGTAACGATTGCCGTTGAAGCAGAGATGTTAGTGCGTTGCATTCGCTAATTTGTTCACTTACTGACATTGCATGATATGTTGCTTTGTGTTGTTGTAGACCGGCGGGCCGAGCTACTCCGTGGAGCTCGGACGGCTGGACGGCAAGACGTTCAACAGAGCCATTGTCAAGCACGTCCTGCCCGGCCCTGGCTTCAATCTGGATCAGCTCAACTCCTTGTTCGCCAGCAATGGCCTAACGCAGACCGACATGATTGCGCTTTCCGGTAAGCTTCTTCCTTCCTGCCTCAAAATTTCCATTGACGTGGAGAAATTTTACATGGTTGATACTAGCCGTTCTGAAAAAGCATCAGGTTACTGTTTTGTGAACGTTGAGGCGACAATAGCATGGTTGCCGGTTACCCACAGAAATTAACAATTCCTCGTTAGGGTTGCATTTTTTTTATTACAAGTATTAGTAGCAGGTTGATCGCAGTGCAAGCATCTTTTTTTCGTGGCCTCTGCACTTCACGTGAGTGACATATCCTCTGTTTGCAACAGAAGACAAAGCAGTTCGCTGTTTTATACTGGTTTCATCTGTTCTTTTCGAAAACGAAAAGAGGCTCGTTTGTTTTTGTTTGATTATAATGCAAAGTAGACAAAAAAACACAAGCGTGGAGTAGTAGTACTTGCTTTGCAGGGAATTTCACATTTAGATGTAAAAAAGACCGGCAGAAAGCGATGAAATATTCTTTGTAGCTACTATAAAACCGAAGCTGTTTTTAAAACACACGCATGTTTCTTTCAGAAAAAAGAACAAAGTGTACTACGGAGTATTTCCTCCATTCTAAATTATAAGCATTTTCATAATAGTGCTAAGTTAAACATTTTCTATTTTGACCATTAATAGCAAAAATAAAATAAAATGATAAATCATATAAAATTGATGTTATTAGATTTATCATTAAACAAACTATCGTAATATGTAAGTCTTTTTATTTAGATCATCTTACTTTTATAGATATTATTAGTTAAAGTAGCATATCAAAGACTATGTCAAGATTCAAAAATACTTATATTTTAGGATAGATTGAAGTAGTACATTGTAGAGGATTTTTAAAAGATTTTTCTGTTCCTTTTGTGCGTTCCAATGGGTGAAAAAATTCTAATGATAATATAAGTTTTTCATTAATAATCATGTCAATGACAATGTTTGTATTTTAATGAGCGGTTTGTTCTTTTATAAACGGTGTTTTTTTCTTGCGCGATTTTCTCAAACCATTCAGAAATGACGCACTTCTTTCTAAAAGTTTTTTTAGCATTTTTTTGCTTTTTATTTACAACAAAAACCATATTTTTCTCCCTTTTTTTCATTTTCTTTTCTCGTGTGTTTTTTGCCTTTTTTTTGACAATTATTTTCTCGCGCGTTTTTTGCTTGTTTTTTCTTCAAATGTTCTTTTTTTTGCTTTTTTCCAATACATGAGAATATATTACGGAATAAAAGCCATGTAGTAGGTGGCAAAAAAAAATCGATGGATCCTATCCGACTCAAGCGTCCATCGATTTAACGTTTTTTCTGATAATTTTCTTAGAGTGATTTTTTTAATAGACGCTGTTTTTTTTCTTGCGCGGTTTTCTAAAACCATTTTTTAGAAATGTCGCGTTTTTCTGACAGTTTTTTCCTCGCATGTTTTTTTTAAAAAATTACCAATGATGGAAATAATTTTTCTCGCGTGTTTTTTTATTTTTTATGGAAGATGGAAAACCTTTTTAGCGTATTTTTTTGCGCTTTTTTCTTACTTTTTTCTCACGCGTGTTTTTGAACCGTTTTTATTTTCTCGTGCATTTTCTCTTTTTAAATAGTTAGATTATATTAGAGATAGAGAAGAGATATATATTGATTAGAAATCGGACTTTGTTTCGTCATTTCCATTTTATTTCTAGTGTGCATTTTTTTATTTTATACGAACCAACTTTTTATTTTTTATGAACTATTTTTTTTGCCACTTTCTTAGGGGATCGAACGAACGGACTTGTCAGATGTTTTTTCGGTTTTTTCGCCTTTATAGGAATCAAACTTTTTTTCCCTTTTTAAAGAAATCGAATCTAGTGTTTTTTCACCACTTTTTTTTTTTGCCTTTTATAGGAATCAGATTTTTTTTTCGTTCGGATCTATGGTTTTTTTCGCCACTTATGGGAAACAGAACTTTTGTTGTTTTTCTTTTTATGCAACTTTCTGCTTTTGTTATCTCTCTTTTATTATTATTTTTAACAAAAACGACCTCAAATACCTTATTGTAAGATTATAGGGACTCAAATGTAAATATAAAAATTATAGGGACTCAAATGCAAAAGTACAAACCAAAAATTAAAATAATATAAAAATGGAATGCTCTCGACCTGTAGATTCCGTTTTTGTAAACAGATCTTCAATCCGTCACATCATTTTGTTTCACCAAGATGTGAGAGATATCACGGTATAAATTGAAACCGAGAGGAGTGGTGGCTGGTATCTCGGACTTAAAAGGAGTGGTGACTTTTATTTTTCAGGGGGATCGGATCTATAGTCGGACTTTTTTTTTCGTTTCTGAGAGGGAATCAGATAGGAGTTGGATTTTTTTTAATTTTTCGCTAATTTTTTTTGTTTTGACGCACGAAGGAAACATATCTTTTTTTTAAGTTGTAGAGATAGAGATTTTTTTTCGCCCTTTTTTTTGGCACGGAATCGGATTATTTTTTTCGTTTTTTTGTCGCTCTTCTTTTTCACGGAGAATTTTTTCAGCCTTTTTTTTTTTGCATGGAATCGGATTATTTTTTCGCCCCCTTTTTTTATCGGACAACTACGGTTTTTTTCTCACTCGTCTGGTTTTTTTCCGGTTTTTTTGTCGCAGATTGTTTCTTTTCGCCTTTTTTTATCGGATAGTTACGGTTTTTTCGTCCGGTTTTTTCTCACTCGTTCGGTTTTTTTGGGCGGTTTTTTGACAGACAATGGAAGCACCTCTTATTTTTTTTTAAGTAGTAGTAGGCATATTTGATTAATCTTAAATACCCTTGCTGGGTTGGGGCAAGGGAAGAATAAAAAAGATCTTAGTACTACATGAGAACTGGGGCGATTTTGTCTGAATGTTTTTGGTCCTGTCAGATCCTAAGCTTAGTTTAAACAATCTTTGTGTCTAGATTTGGACACAAGAGGCCCTACCCTTGTGACAAAACCGAAACCACCACAACCACTAGCGGTAACTTTTGACCGAACCAGAGCCACTCCTGACTCTGCATATAGTAGTACAGTAAAAAGGTTAAAACAACTGTACAGGCACAGACCGGAACAAACAATACTTCCTCTACTTACTCTGTTTCACGATATAAAACTTTCTAGCATTACTCATATTTATTTAGATATTAATGAATCTAAATATATATATATATATATGTTTAGATTTATTAATATCTATATGTATGTGGTTAATGCTAGAAAGTCTTATATTGTGTAACGGAGGGAGTAGTTTTTTTTCTCACTGAAATGATTCTGATATTGACGGTGCACACGCACTGCAGGGGCGCACACGATCGGGGTGACGCACTGCGACAAGTTCGTGCGGCGGATCTACACGTTCAAGCAGCGGCTGGGGTACAACCCGCCGATGAACCTGGACTTCCTGCGGTCGATGCGGCGGGTGTGCCCGATCAACTACAGCCCGACGGCGTTCGCGATGCTGGACGTGTCGACGCCGCGGGCGTTCGACAACGCCTACTTCAACAACCTCCGCTACAACAAGGGCCTCCTCGCCTCCGACCAGATCCTCTTCACCGACCGCCGCTCCCGCCCCACCGTCAACCTCTTCGCCGCCAACTCCACCGCCTTCTTCGACGCCTTCGTCGCCGCCATGGCCAAGCTCGGCAGGATCGGCGTCAAGACCGGCTCCGACGGCGAGATCCGCCGCGTCTGCACCGCCGTCAACTAGCTTGTTTACGTAGTACTTGCATATCATCTTCTGCTACTTAAAAAGTGGAGTACTTAGCTGGGTAGGATGGTGAAAGAAAAACACGTAGTAGTAGTACTACGATTAATTAATTTCGGCCGCAGATGCAGGGTGTTTTTTTTCTTTTCTTTTTATTTTTGGTTTCTTTTTGTTGTTTATATGTTTTGTGGTGGGATTTTGTAGCCGATTCTTTGAGCTGAGACGGAATGGATGATAGAATGGTGCTGATGGGTGATGCATTGTTATGTCCTTGCCTCCTAGTCTTGGTGTTCCAGCTTGGTGTGGTACACGGTGATCGACCAGAAAAGCACTCGTGACATCTGAGGGTTTGGTTTTGGTCTTTTGGCAGTTGCAGAAGTTGTTGACATCGTTCTATTGTACGCGAATACCACCGAAAAAGAACGTTACATGTGATGTGAGTGGTATTCACCGATGGAGAGAATTTGGAATTATCAATGGATCAACGTACGTATAGCCATGCTGCATATGCTCACGCTAGATCGATGGATTCTTCTGCGAGATGTCGTGATGGGAGATGGAACACACTAGTAGACGAAAGGCATATGCAATGCAACAGTACAAAACAGGCCCGTGCCGACGGGTCGAACATGTTACATGTCACATGCGAAAGGTACGGGAACGTGCCATGTCCATGGGTTGGGATTGCATCGAAACATGACACGACATCAGATACACCCGCACGGAATAAGTTCACTTCGTGAACCTCAAAAGTGATCAAAATCTAATCCGTGACTCTAAACCATAAAACTGGATATCTCGACCCCCAAACTCTTAAAACCGGAGCAATTTGACTCCCTGGGCGGTTTTTGGATGGCGGTTTTGCTGACGTGACGTCTATGTGGTGGTATTGACTCGGTCTTCTTTCCACATGGCATTGACGTGGCGCTCAGTTGGCATTAGAAATAAAAAAAAAAGTGTGGGACCCATTTGTCATCCACCAAAAGTGTAGGTGGGACCCACTAACACGTGAGGCCCACATAAAATCATCCTCCCCCTCTCTATTTCTCTTCCCTTCGGCGAGCGGCGGCCGTGTGACGGCTGACGGGGGCCAGTGGCGGCGGCAGTGGTGCGCGGGATCCGCCAACGGTGGCGGCGGGAGGGCAAGGCGGGTGCAGGCGTAGGAGGGGACCCTGGTGACAATGTCGTCGGCATTGCGGTAGTCGTCGGCTTTACGGGCGTACGAGGGGCGGTGGGCGGGCGAAATCTCGGGAGGCGCCGCCTCTCCTCCCTCTCTTCCGGCCCTCGCTCGCCGCCGTCGCCGCTCCGGCCCTCGCCCGCCACCAACGCCGCTCCAGCCCTTGTCCGTCGTTGCCGCCGCCTCACCGGCCTCGCCCGCCACTCCAGCGCAGCAAAGGGGGAGAGGAAGGGGGAGAGGAAGAGAGAGAGAGAAGGGAAGGACCGGAGATGGACGGAGAGCGGCAGAGGCAGGCTCGGCCCCTTCCACCCCGGCGACGGCGGCATCGAGCGACGAGTTCCCGACGATTTCTCTTCCCCTTCGGCAGGCGGCGGCGATGGCAGCGGTAGGCGCAGCTGCCGCCACTCCAGCTCCAGCCCGTCGTCGTCGATGGCCGCCGCATCTACCGCCCTCGCCAGTCCTCGCCCGCCCGCTCGCCGATGGTCGCCACATCTACCACCCTCGCCGGTCCTCACCCGCCTGCTCGCCGATGGTCGCCGCCGCCGTCCAGCATGAGCACGTCGATGGCCGCTGCATCTACCGCCCTTGTCGTCTCCGCTGCCGCTCTAGCTCCCACCCGACGATGCCGCCGCCATCCCCATTGCCGCTCCGGTGGTGAAGAGAGGCTAGGGGAGAGAATGAGAGAAGGGAGATAGAGGGAGGAGGAAGGGGATGAGAGAGGATGACATGTGGGATCCACATGTCAGTGGGTCCCCATGTCAGTGAGCCCCGCATGTCATCCTCTGTGTGAATGATAAATGAATTATTTTTTTAAATTCTAATGCCACCTAAGTGCCACGTCAACGTCACGTGTAAAGGATACCCGGTCAATACCGCCACGTAGATGCCATGTCAGCAAAACCGCCATCCAAAACCGTTCAGGTAGTCAAATTGCACCAGTTTTAAGAGTTTGAGGGTCAAGATATCTAGTTTTGTGGTTTAGGGTCACGGATTATATTTCGATCACTTTTGAGGGTCACGAGGTGAACTTATTCCCACCCGCACCTATCGCAAAAATTCACAGCTCACATGCCGAGACCGTGGGCCGTGGAGGTTCTCGTCTACAGGCTGTTTGGGCCGCGGGAAAACGGACGGTGCAATGTAACTCTCAAAAGGCCCAATTTGAGCTTAGGCCATGTGTGGCAGGCCACACTACGGCCCAGAAAACGGCGTTGTTGCAGGTAGCGCGAGGTTCACAATCAAAACAATGATGAAAACGTGAGCGGTTAGTAAAGATACCAATTAATCACCGACGTGAGTACGTCCGTGTATGGTACTGTACGTGACGATCCCATGCACGAAATCCCTCCACGGATTATACGGCGGCGAGCCCGATCGATCCGCCCCCACCCACCCACGCAACGTCCGTATCTGCGCGCGTACGTACCGCCTCCTCTCCGCCCGGCCACCTACCCGGCCGCCGCGCAGCGCGCGCGTTGGCTTCTCGCCAAGAACGGATTCTGGCTGCGGAAATACGGATTCTCACGCGGCCGGGTCGCGGACGAGGACGAGGGGACGTCGTCCCGCGCGCGCGGAGTGCGGCCGCCCGCGGTTGCGTCCTTCGGAAACACACCACATCAGCATGCATACCGATCGGCAGAAATACGCCGCGCATATGTACGTACGTGCGACGCCGCCTGCAGGAGGCGATCGGCGCCTCGGTGGCGGGCGGAGTTAGTACTGAAGGCCGTGTACACTACTGAGCTTCTGATATGGGAAGCTTCTTTCAAATTAATCTCCAGCTCTCCCCCAAATAGTTTAGATCACCACTTAGGATTGTGAGAATATATAGTTTTAGAATTCAGAAAATAAAAGGATAGAAGATGGGGAACCATCTTTTTTCTGATTTTCACTAGTTAATTACTTAGAAGTTAGAACAGCTGATTCTTACACTCTCACTCTCCTCGATCACCTGGCCTAAGTTTCTTAAGAAGCATGAATGTGCAATCAATTGGCCTAATTTATATCGGCTAATCGATCAATTAACCGATCGATCTTGCGTACGTACGGCCATCGACTTTCTTGATTTCTTTCCTTCGCAAAGCGTGAACTAGTATTGGATTCTAGCTAGCTAGCTACTCCATCCGTCCCAAAAAAAAAAGACAAACCCTGAGTTTCCGTGTTCAACGTTTGACTATCCGTCTTATATAAATTTTTTTATAATTAGTATTTTAATTGTTGTTAGATGATAAAACATGATTAATACTTTATGTGTGACTTGTCTTTTTAATTTTTTTTAATATTTTTTTTAAATAAGACGGACGGTCAAATGTTGGACACGAAAACCCAGGGTTTATCTTTTTTTTTTGGGACGGAGAGAGTAGCTACTACATGCATGATCATGCCAGCTGTGTACCAAACAGCCGCAGGTTGGGCGGCCTCTTTCTGTGAAAATATTGCATATTTGCATGAGCATGACAATTACCGACCAGACAGCACCCAACATGTCCTTCAATTCAAGTATAGATAGCTTCAGATCGAGGCTAAACCTTGCCTAGCTAAGCTCTCACATGAACCAACCATGCATTACAGTGCCTTGCAGAGAGCTGCATATGCTAGCTAAATTGCAAACGCAAGCTACGTACGTACCTGTACAAATAACTGCAACACCACGTACGCTCCTCTAATAATTAATGGTGCCAAATGAATCTGCTAGTACCAGAATATAAGGTACAACATACATAATAGGGGTCTTACTGTTGATCTGGCATTCATATGCCTAGCTCTCGTTGCACTACTTCATAAATGAGGCCAAGCTAGCTGATCGATCATGCATTAAGCCTCCTGGGGTTAGTTGTGTGCATAAGTCAACTTTCAACAACCGGGTGCCCGTAACCAAATTAGCTTCGTCATCGATCCTTTGTAAGTTCCACGGTTAGGTTGATGAGCCAAAACAATAGCCAATTAATATGTAGGTTCTACCTTTTCCTAAAAAAAGAAACAGATGCAGTTGGTAAGTTATATAGAGTGAATAAGAAACCGGCCGCACGAGCTGCTTATATGCATTTGTAGCTGCAGATGGGTCTTAAGTTTTAAGTGCATCTTAGATGTAGATGTCGGGGATGTATATTCTATCTTCCAAACTCTCAATAATTAAGTACATATTCACACAAAAATTGACAAAATACATCAATGCGTTTGATAAAAGGCAATTATTTATCTAGAGAATATCAATTTCACTAATTATTTTTTAAAAAACACAAACGCCTGCCCCTTTAAATGCACACACGTATACCATATCCGTATAAACACCTTGAAATACTAAGTCATCATATCCTAACATTGACAAAGTCACTATAGCTGTCTCATTGGCGATGCATACATTGCCTACAACTTAAAAATAATTAACCATAAGTACGAGCACCACTGTTAAATTTAGGATTTAATCCCGTTGTATTTATATCCGAACATAATATTTGTTCTGTTACCCAAAACAAATATATAGTACAGCTTAATTAGTTGTTTTCTAAAAGCAAGTACGAGTAACTATGTACGAAGGACAAATAAAAAGGGCCATTTCCCCCCTACCCTAATTGCATTTTATAATTCCGTTTTTGGATGAAATGGTTGCATGCAACTTAATAAATAATGTTGGAATGGATGCCGGACAATGTCAATTAAATAGTAACGAGCAAAGGATATGCAGTGCTAGATGCGCTGTGTAGCTGACGCTACCTCATGAAGTCATGATGCGTCAATGATCAAGTTTTAAGATAAGTTACAGTACCAGGTCTATCGTTAGTTTACATAGATGTATCATCATAAATAGTAGCTATGGATGACGTCAAAGAGAGCATGGGCATATGCATGCATGTACCCTGGATCAATATTTCCATCTATGTACATATATGAACGACCTTAGCCGAGGATAATTGATTTGCTAGCAGTTACATGATCAAAAAATCCTGATCAAAGGATTTATTGTTTTGAACCCGTGATATAAAAACAACAATTTAATTGTTGGGAGACAATATTGCACTTAAAACTCATGTGCAATTTACCTTAGAGAAAGTAAAGGAAACACAATATCATTAATTATCGAGTAAATTTCAGAAAACTCATGTTTAAGAGTCAAAGTTACATAAAGCCCTTGATATTATGACTGGTGGCTCATAACTCCAGTCGCTAGGTAAATGGTTTTAAAGTTTCACAAAACCTCACTCCTATACATGTTGAGCACAAACTCAATTACTTGAATTTCTAAAAAGTAGTGAAGAGTAAAACTATCAGTATAACTTCATATGAAATTTTTAGTTATTAAGTTTTTACTAAAGCTGATAGTTTTACTCTTCACAACTTTTATTTTAAAAAAAGAAAATCCAAATATGCTGAAATTAATCAAATTATGAATGACGGCGGGTTTATGAAACATTTAAACCACAAAACCCTATGGTTAAATGCCAAAAGTCATAACACCTGTGGTATTTTACAATTTTGACTATAAAACGTGGGGCTTTTAAAACCTCACTCCTTTTACATGTCGTTGTAAATACTAAATTGGAAAGTTTTGTGCAGAACTGGCTAGCTTTAGGACATGTCGTAGTCAATCCTCGAGTACAAGTAAGTTCAAATAGAAATTCGAATTTCCTCTAACAAAGAACAAATTCAATTTAATTCCCGTATAGTAGCAGTTAGAACTAGGAACTTTAGCCGATGGTTTGGTGTAAATTTAACTGGACTATTTCTATTATATTGCTTGTGGTTATTTTTTTCCATTGGGGGATGTACTGGAAACATATGTTGATAATAATCAATTGTCGTAAATTGATATGCATAACCGGATAAGGCCAGATCTAAACATTTTCATCAGATTCTTAGAATCCTATAAAGATAACTCCAGTGAGTGTGCATATAATTAGTTCTAAAAAAATGTAGTATATAATTAATAGAGATGACCCTGAAGATCTTATAGTCTTGATCCGTGTGTGCATCCATGCAACACATCAACTATATATAAACATTTTGAATGCACCTTTGGAACAAGTTATGATTAATTGTAAAATTCAGGGCCATACTGGCAATGGTGACGCCTATGGGTGCCGCTTTCCCCTTGGGGCGTTGCTGCATTTCCTTCCCTCTCCCAATGGGTTCTTTAGGTGAAAACCCACGTCCTGGAGATACAGGACGGGCGATGGCGGCACACTTGGCGTCGTTCCCTCCTTGGAGGCGTCGTTCAGAAGACCCATTACTTAGGGGTGCTGTGTGTTTGTTTTGTTCTAACAGTAGGATTAGACGTAGACATGTGGTGTGGCTGTATTTTCTTTTTTCTGGCTATAGTCTTCCAGGGATATAGACTTGTATTTTTTTCCTGCTCTATCAATAGAAACGTCGCACTATTTTGTACGGGTTGTTTCAAAATAAAATTCAGGGCCATACGATTATGTGATTTGATCATGTTTGGCTTCCACTGTAACCATGCGTCCAACTAAATTCAGTGAATGCTTTTGATAAATGATAATATAATTAAAATACAATGGGATATTTGTCGTCATCAGATCATGGATGATGTATAGTAAATATCTCTTCTGGCCTAACTTGTTTATTATATACGACCATGAACCTTTCGGTTATCGCATCCCCTGCGTACATGTGTATGTGCCTTGATGTGCGCCCTACGTTCAATTATTGACATTAGATATATGGGTATATAAGACAATTTTTATGGACCATGATGGACAATGCGATTATATGTTCAAGATAACAAAGAGAATCATGTCGCGGAAAATAGCAAAGTTAAGCAAATTGTGCGTTAACCTTGCAAAGTTAACAAATTAAGTTGTCAAATTCTTACATGTACAGCTTTCTTTCCTTTTAATATATATGAAATTTAACCGTGGAGGCTTCCCCCACTGTTTTTCCGGTAAACAAAAAATTAACAATTCGTCATGTATTTAGACTATACTAAAATTTTCTCGCTGATGAAAAAAAAGGTAGTGGATAGTTGTTTTAGAGCGCCCTATCTAGTTATATGTCGACTATAATATTAAAAATATAAATGTCTATTTATTTCCTGATCAGGGTATATCCATATATTACAAAGATATGTAGATCATTTTGTACATATATATGTTAGAGTGATGCGTAATTCAATTGTATAAGACATACAATTTTATTTTGGAAATAAATACAAAAACAATAGAAAATAAATTAAAACTATATATATATAGTCAAAGAACTACAATATCTAGCCATGTGCAATTGCACGAAAAATTCAGGTAGTTATGTAGAAATTCGTACAACTTTCATGTGGTGCATTCTTCCTAGATGAAATTAATTGACCAACTAGCCTCTTGTGGCACCAAACTATAAATTACACTAAATTTGATGTACCGGCTAATTAACCAGCTTCTCCAACGAGGAAAACTGCCAGTACACATGACAATAACGCATAAGCTATCATTATTATATCCAAATTACAGTAATTAATAGAGACAAGATGAAAAGAGATGTCTGGACGTACACACACGTACGAGGGAGAGAGAGAGAGAGAGAGAGAGAGAGAGAGAGAGAGAGAGAGAGAGAGAGAGAGAGAGAGAAGGAGAGATCGAGATGATTGATAAATATTAATTATACTAGTGATCGAAGTCGAGATCAAACATCGCCTGTCCAAGCTGAAGGATGTTGCTGTGTTGGTGATGCTGCTGATGGAAGGCTAAGCTTGGTTCTTGCACTTGAGCTATATTTGATGTGTCAGTGCTCGAGACAGCTCCTTGGCTCTGAGGGAATAAGCACGAGCCAGACGACGAAGGGAAAGGGAAGCCATGCTGCTGGTGGCTCTGCTGATGAATCCCATGATGTGCTTGCTGCTGCTGCTGCTGCATCGATGCCTTACCTTTGGGATCTACAGCTTCTTTCACCACCTCTCCCAGATCCATGGCTTGGTCTTGATCTTTGGACATGTGTGCACCCCCCAGTAGCTGTGTCTCGAAACCGTCTCCAATGCCTGCGTTCTTGCTGCTACTTCCTGCTTCTGTCAATTATGAAGGAAATGGTGTAGAATATCGGTTAATTATCTAGGAATTGAACAGATTAAGAACCCATTCATGCATCATATCTTAGGACTATCTAGGAAATGGTGTAGAATATGTTATATTCATGCATTTTCAGGTGGTTGAGATCATGAATGAAAATACTGAATAAAGAGAGAGAGAGAGAGAGAGAGAGAGAGAGAGAGAGATATCACGCACTGTCTTTAGTAGCTGCCGATTTATTCGCCTGCGCCCTTCTCTTTTCACCAGAATGCTCGCCGTCGGACGGCTTCGACTTCCTCCGCCGGCGGTTGTGGTCGGCGAGTCGCTTCCTGCAGCTCTTCTTGGCATCGTCGAACTCATCAAGAAGATGGAATCTGAATAATTGAACAGGTTAGAAAAGGTTAACATACAGAAATGAGAGGGATGCATGCAACTACGAAGAGCTGAAGACGAATACACATGAAATACTACGGTACAACGATAAAGGATATGGAAGATGAAGTACTACTTCTACGATTGAGAAGCTTGTTGCATGATCCTGCATGCATATTTCCTACATAAACGTGCACATTAGCGAAGACAAAATGACAGGTTGCTCAGGCCAGATCAAACTTCAGTTCAGAAGAAACTACTGATGAAAAGAACATTCTGGGGACCAATATGTAAGCTAATGATGATCCTGAGCACGAGAAGCACATACACCTAAACTGTTCCATCCCAGAGACAGCTTGGAGTTTTGCAGCTGACTCATATGGAGTGTTTCCATATGGTGTGCCATACTGCAAAAGGTTCCTGTTTTCCCTTAAATGCATTGCTGAGCTTAACACGTGCATGCTTAGGAGGCATCGAAGGTAGTTTCTTCTTCAGTTTCTCAATCAATCCGAGCCGTTCATCTCAGTGAGGTAAATGTTACTGACGGCCGGCCACACATTCAGGGTAAAAAAAGAATGAGAGAGAGAGAAAGAACACGTTGCTTGCAAATGCAACTTGTGCTGGTACGTACATATGTACGTGAGCGGGCTGTACAAAGTCTTTGCTATACTTGCAAAGAAAGTCGCATTGTTTCTGACTTTGTGAGGCCAAAATACATGTACAGACGTCTCGAATACTGTTGGAAGTAACCACTCAAACATGCGAAGGAGAAGTCAAGAAAAATAAATGGGAAGGGCTAGTTTCAAGGAACAATAACCAAAGGAGGAGAAAATAAGCAACTCTATCTAGGACAAGATCAATATGTATTTGTACAGATATTGGTTATTCCCCCCCAAGTCCCAGCATGTGATAGATAGTGATCAGGATTCAATTTAATTAAACAGAAATCAATATTTTGAAACACAATTTTCTCCAAAGAAAGATCTTTAATTTGAAACACAAAGAAAGAAAAAGATGGCATATGAATCTCTAGCTCATCACCTGGGTAAACCTAGAAACATGCACGCATACTATTTGTAATTTTGTTTTGCAAAGCGAATGAACGTTTATGTGTTCAGAACAGCGATAATTCAAAATTTATATATTGTGTCCGAACAGATTAATAACTATAGTACACGAATTATCTTAATTAGCCTGCAGTGTAGGCAATAATATAAAATGGGTGCAAAATTTTCTCCTCACCATAGCTAATTGCGAAATCGGCTAAACGTATATATCAAATATGCAGCAATAGCTTGCTAAATGCATCCAATTTAGCTCAAATTTCTGAGAACAGATTAGGGAATTGTTCATCAAAAAATACTAGAAATATCAGTTTAAGCAGTTAAGAATCAGATAATTGTATAGGAAGAAATCTCTCTTTCAAAGAAATGTAAAGGCAAGGAAATCTGGGCAAATGTAGAGCAAGCATTGAACTGCTCATGGGTTCATGAGGCAAGGAACCGGAAGAACTCAGGAAAAGAGGCCAAAGATGGTACCACACATCCAATTAAAGTTCAAAGCAATTGCCGTCTTCAATTTCATCTGACTGTTCCAACTAACGTAATTACTTTGAGGGCAAACAGGCGGCTAATGATGAGCTGAAATTACTTGTATGAAAAAAAAAGAAAAGCTTAAATCCTAGGTAGTTAAATTAGGAGATTTATTATTAAAGTTTCACCCTTCGATATGATCTCAATAGTGAGCAGAATGGAACTTCCAGATCACTTAATTAATGCAACTCTCTGATCCTACAAATCATATTCTCCAATCAAATTAAACACGCCGCAACAAGATGTGTGTCTCATTAATTAAACCAATCAATCGGACAAAGCAAATTAAATCGGGCCAGCATCCTCTTCTGGGAAATCGATGAACAGTGGATCGGAGAATAGTGAATTCGAGCAGCAAACTAAACACGACGATGAACACTGACCTGCTGCACTGCTGGCAGAATCTCTGGTGGAGGCCGCCGGCGGTGACGACGACGGGCGCCTTGGAGTGGTGCTCGCACACCTTGTGGCGGCGGTGGTAGCGCTTGGCGCTGGAGAGGTCGGCCTTGCAGCCCTCGGCCTGGCACCGCGGCGGGTGGTGGCCGTAGGTGTAGCCGCCTCTCGGCGGGAAGTAGGTCCGGTAGCCGAGGTTGAGGCCGAGCTGGGTGGCGGCGAAGCTGGCCATGTTCTCCTCGGCGGAGCTGACCAGCGTCGGGAAGTAGTACTCCGGCGCGTCCTGCGGCGGCTGCTGGTAGTACGACTGGAAGGTGCTCCCGGCCGCCGCCGCCGCCGTGAAGTGGCTGTAGGGGTTGCCTCCGCCACCGGCGCCGCCGGCAGCGGCGAGGTAGTGCGAGGTCGGGTAGAACTGGAGGAGGTCATGTGGGGAGGCGTGGGCGATGGTGGCGTGGTGTGCTGCGGCGGCGGCGGCGTTGGAAGGGGGAAGCAGAGCTAGGGAGCTCGGCTCCAGGTTGTAGCCGAGCTGCTGGTGGTTGTGGTGTTGGTGGTGATCCCTCTGGATGCTACCGCCGCCGCCGTCCTGGTCCATGATTGGGAGAAGCGACGGCGGCGGCGGCGGGGTGGCGTTGTAGCCGAAATCATCGCAGGAGCTCGCGGCAGCGGCGGATGGAACGTTCATCATCCTCGCGGCCTGTCTCCTCCTCCCTCCTTTATCTATCCCTCACTACTCACGCAGTCGCACACACACGGAAAGTTCTAGGTATGGAAGAGAGGACGCGGCAAGGACACCACCATCATCCTCTCCATCGATCGAGCTCGCTCTAGCTAACAGGGCTACTACTCGATGGATCTCTTATATCAGCAGCGCGCAGAGATGGATCGCGCGGCATATGCCATGGTTTTGCCCTTTTTCATCTATCTAGGGTTCGGGTGGATGGATGGATGGATCGAGCAGGAGGGCGGCTGGATGTGGAGTGCGTTGCCGGCTAGCTATATCTAGCAGCAGCTGCCTGTCTGCCTCTGGCCTCTCTCGCTGATGCTAGGGCCAGCAACAAACCAAACCAGAAGAGGGAGAGAGAAGAGAAGGGCTTGGGTTGGGGTGGCCGGGAGCTATCTTAATTGGAGTTGGTGAGGGGGTGATAGCTGCTGCTGCTGCTGCGGCCTCTGCTGCTCCCGCTTTATGCTTGGCCACCGTTTTTCCATTGCTTCCATCCGTATATTAGGCGTAGTGGTAGTAGTAGTGGTTGTTTCAACGTATGGTACGTCACTATAGCATGTGTGCGCCTTGAACAATGCAACAGGCTGATCGATCCATGATATATGGATATCGACCGGCCAGGGTTAGGCCTTGCTTAGTTGGGGGAAAATTTTTGGGTTTGGTTATCACATCGGATATACGGATACATATTTGAAGTATTAAACGCAGTCTAATAACAAAGTAAATTATAGATTCTGCCAGAAAACTAGGAGATGAATTTATTAAGCCTAATTAATCCGTCACTAGCAAAATTTACTGTAGCACCATATTATCAAATCATGGCGCAATTAGATTTAAAAGATTCGTCTCGCAATTTACACGCAAACTGTGTAATTGGTTTTTTCCCCACATTTAGTACTCCATGTATGTATCCAAACATTTGATGTGATGGGTGAAAAATTTTTTGTTTTGGGAACTTAAACAAGGCCTTAGTAGCATACTCGCTTTATTCCAAAATAAAACAACATAATATGAATATAACATATCTTATTAGTACGAACCTAAACAAAATATCTGACGCATATGTACATCATAAATATGATCGCACGCGCGCAAATGCAGTGCAGGTATGTGCAACTAGTGGCATGTAGTAGCTTGTAGCATGTGGGGGATGGAGAACTGAAGAAGGTTGTAGCTAGTAGGGGGGGGGGGGGGGTGTTGTGTGGTGTACGTACATGGCGCTTGCGCCGATGGAGCGTACGCTCCGTGACGCCGGGGGCGCCGGCCGGGCCGGACGGTTCCCATTCATGAGATGTGATCTCATGGACAGGTACGTACAGAACGGAGGACCTCATCACCTCAGCTAGGAGTAGCAGCAGCAGCAGCTAGCTAGCTACTCTTCCAATGGATCATATCATCCATGGCTAACTGCAGCTGTTGCTGGTGGTGGCTCCATCGGAGTGAGGTGGCATCGCATCGATCGATACATCGTCCCCCAGATCATCGCAAGAGCCCTCCCATTTCCACAAAGGATAATTAATCTTGATGATGATCCAGCGACTGCTACTGTATTTGCGTAAAGAGGTGGACGCGTGTGTACGTACATGTGTACTGCCTACCCGTCATGCGCGCTCGCGCTGGCTCTACGGATTACGGCTCTAGCTAGTAATTCCTTTTTACAGATGGGTATGCAATTAAGTGTGTCTTTGCTTCCTGCTCGATCGATCTCTAGCTGTAAATATTAATTAATTAGTTGATCGATCGATCGATCGATCGATGGATGAGAGAGTATATATCGTGTCATTATTTGGGCAATTAATCGAAAGTTTGCGCGTCAAGGCACTTGCAAACATTTAGTGCTGCCAAAATTGCTTAGGCGTGCAGCCTTCACATGCTAGCTAGCTAGTCGACCTCTGTTATAATTAATTGACTTGGCTAATTGGATTTTAAGCCCTGAATTCAGACCAAAATTGGAGGAAACACTGTCGCAAGAGGTTTTTTTTTTTGGTGTTTCTTTGGATGTACTGTATTTTTTTCAGAAAAAATAATTTACCGTATCTTCAGACACCAAGAGGTTGAGACTATTATATTTTAGGATGGATAGAGCAACTTCCCAAAGAAGCACAAAAACCTTGTCCAATTAACATGTCATTTGGTCAAACTAACATATATTAATGTGTTGTTTGATTAAGTTTTTTTATAATTCTTATAGCTTTCTTCAAGAGACTAGAAATAATCTAATGATATTTAAATTATGATCAAACTGTAATATACAACAAGGGTAATTTTACTATTATTGAGAAGGTACTGAGAATTTTACTATCACTAAGAAGATATTGAGAGGCATCATATTTTCTAGTATAAAAATTGATACCTTCAGATACTAGATATCTCGAGGTACTAAAATTTTTAAGGTCAAATTTAAATACTTCAAAATATTATTTTTAAGGACCATAAAATTTCTCATACAACAAAGGAAGCCCAAAGGTGAGTTCAATGATCCATAGACTAAGAATCAAATCTTCATGGTTGCAATTACGTGCATAGGTGCTCTTCTAATCTTTATACCTTTAAACGTTTCTTATGGTGGTGGCGGTAAGATAGATTTACCGCCATCACCCATTGATACTTGGGCCCTATAAAGTGAACCCCGTATAGTTAGTACGATAAAATTTAGTAAGGTTAAAAATTTAACATCGGCCGTTACGTTTTTTTATTACCGTGTGAAACCTTACACATTGATATATTAATTAGCAGAAGAAAGAAAAACTTGTACAACTACAACCAGTTGACCTGATCGTGGGGTTACACATAGAAGGTGAAAAAACAGACACAGTTAACTTAGAGAAAACAACCCCAACTAGACAGCAGAGTAAAGAGAAAAACCTTGTGGTAACTAGTAACACGTGAGTTTGTGCAAGCGGTGTGGTGTGCTCACATGCACGTCAGCACGTGTCTTTCATTTTGCATAAGTTGTACTACACAACAGGGAAAAAACATATACAGAGTATCTGCAGACGCTATAATTTCACAATGAAGTCAAACTTCATTTTAAATAGGAGAAATTGGCGTGTGCGCTTTATCTAGCTTCATGATAACCTGCCACGAGTTCTTCAATATTTACATATTTAATTAAGCAAGCTCAAGCTAGGTTTATAATTGTACTTTATGTAAACTAAATATGAAGCATATATTTTTTTCTATGTTTTTCAAAAAAGATTACTAATACATAATTGCATTCCATGGAGAAATAAGCATTCTAGCCATGAAAAATTTTATGGTCTTAATTAAGAGGTACCGATCGAGATATATCAAATATCTTAATTACTAGCTTAAATGTTACACCTCCTATCACCCAAGGTAAAACGAGTGACCCAATGAAATTGGTGGAAGAAAATGTCCATTTTACATTTTTAAACTTCACCAATACATTTAACCCCCTAAACTATTTTTTTCTTATTTTACACTGGACTAATATTATTTATTCCATGATAGTATTTCTAATTTTTCTCCTCCCTATATAAGTTGTTTTTTCCACTAAAATTTGGTCGGGTGTAGATAGATGTATTAACTTATGCCTTACTAGCATTTATTAGAATTTTCTCTCTCTACCTAGGTTAGAAGCACCTAATTAAGATTGATTTAAACATTGATATTTTAAAGCTCATGAAACAATAATAAAATTTGAAAATATTTTAAACTTTGATAACGGCGCTATCTGTGGCTCTACAAATTTACAGCTCAACATATAACTTCTACAAAGAGAAAAAAATAGATTATATCCAGTCAAGTGAATTCCGGCGTACCCATGCATGGGCGTTTGTTTTTTATTCTTTTTATTACATCTTTTTGACCGGAGTTTAAAAACCGAATTGTTCATAAGTGCCGTATTATTTCTTGCCGAGTTGGAAACAGTTACAATCTCGATCGACGGAATCATTGCTGGTCCCGACCGGCTACTCTCGCTGGCTCACATATTCCATGCCCCTACTCATATACAATAGCAGACTATTAGCTAGCTACAAACACATTTTAATGAGATAAAAGATAAGAGAGAAGAGCAGCGGACTATAGATCTGTAGCTAGCTACAGTATGGACTCTAAGACATAATATGTGTATGACAGGTGAGACCATATACTAATAGTACAGTAAGCAATTATTGTATATATGAATTGGCTATTAGATTGGCTATAGATAAATTGGAGCTAGTAGTGGGCTATACTATCAAACTTACTCTAATTAGGCCCTCATCACGAAGTAATTTTTCCGGCCAAGTTGGTTAATTACCACGTACTGCTCCCTTTTTACCTCACTGCCCTGTACAGCACATATATATATGTACCGCATCCTTAAATTCTAACCCGTCAACTACATGTATGCGTGTCGCAATTAATTCTTAAGATCGTACGTACCCAATTAACTTACGACCGATTAAAATCGACGAGGAGAAAAGACCAAGTATTACAGTATTATTATATTATTTTTTGCTTCCCGTTCGATCGGGGCGTGCGCGAACGCGTACGGGCGCGGCGGCGAGGACACGGCGCGCGCGCGTGATCTCGGCGGCGAGGTTTGCTCACTCGCTGCACGGCGCCGGCCGGCGCCCGGACGGGTCGCCGCGCGCGCGCGACGCGACACGCCGGCCGGTTGGGGAGACGGGAGACGACACGCACGCGCGCGCGCAGGCATGTGTACGCGCAGTCGCGCGCCCGATCGATCGGTCGTCGCCTCTCGTCGGCTCGAGACGTACGTACGCGCCGGCCGGCCGGTGGAATGCCCGGCCGGCCGCCGTCGTCGTCTCGCGTGCACGGACATGATCAGCAAGCAACGAAACGGTTATTAATTGGCTGTGGTCCTCATCGGCTGGTCTAGTTTTATTATAAACCATAACAGCTTAATACATACTTCCTCCGTCCCAAAATGAAACCATTTTTGAGGTTGGCACGGGTATTAAGAAAGTAAGTGAGAATGATTGGAGGAAGTGTGTGATTGGTTGAAAAGAAAAAGTAGGTGAAGAAAAATGGTTGTGATTGGTTGAGAGGAGGTAGGTGAAGAAATAGCTTCATTTTGGGACAAGACACTATGCTAGAAATAGCTACATTTTGGGACGGAGGGAGTAGCGATTAAAAAATAATATGTAAGTAAAACTTTTGTATATATGTTTTTAGTGATTGAAAAGCTAAAGTTGAAAAAAAAACTATATTGAAAAGGAATCAAAATCAAATTTAAAATCAAGTATTAAAATTTAATTTTTGGTTTTGGCTTATAAGCCATAGGGTAAACGATGAGACCCTGTATCTGTATCACTATACATGCATGGCTGAATTAATCAGTCACACACACATGTATATATATATTTTCCAATTGTTAATTTCGCAGTCATGGAAATCGATATATTCGTGTTTCGCAGTCATGGAGATCTACCTGATATATACCCCATATGGACAAACAGGCAAGCATGCATATGGTATAGTGGTACAGTATAATGAGATATACGATCTCTGGCTTAGCTATAAGTAACGG